TAAATGTGTTCCTTTATAAAAGTTGCTGGGGTCATGGTGTCTCTTCACAGCAATAAAACCCTAAGACAGGGTGAAATAATGGAAAAGGGTGTTCAAAGCAATTGGAACCTGGAAATAAGAAGCTGTTGCAATTTTTTTTTTTTTTTTTTTTTGGTTTTTCGAGACAGGGTTTCTCTGTGTAGCTTTGCGCCTTTCCTGGGACTCACTTGGTAGCCCAGGCTGGCCTCGAACTCACAGAGATCCGCCTGGCTCTGCCTCCCGAATGCTGGGATTAAAGGCGTGCGCCACCACCGCCCGGCTAGCTGTTGCAATTTTAATATGTGAGAAAATTGATTTCAAAACTAGTCATAAGAGATAAATAAAACTTCTTCATGCTGATTGTCATAGTTAGGGTTTCTATTCCTGTGAAGAGACACCATGGCCACAGCAACTCTTACAAAGGAAACTATTTAATTGGGGCTGGCTTACAGTTCAGAGGCTTAGTCATTATCATGGTGGGAAGCATGGAGACATGCAGACAGACACGGTGCTGGAGACATAGCTGAGAGTTCTACATCTGGATCTGCAGGCAGCAGGAAGAGACTGACACACTGGGCCTGGCTTAACCTTCTGAGACCTCAAAGCCCACCCCCAGTGACTCACATCCTCCAACAAAGCCTCACCTACTCCAACAAGGCCACACCTCCTAATAGTGCCATTCCCTAGTGACCCAACATTCAAATACAGGAGTCTATGGGGGCCATTCCTATTCAGGCCACCACACTGATTAATGGAAAAATACATCATTACAATTTTAAACATATAAGCTCTAAACACAAGCACACCCAATTTCATAAAATATATTCTGCTAGATAAAATGAACTTAACAGACATCTTTAGAACATTCCACCCAAACATTGCAGAATACACATTTTTCTCAGAAGTCCATGGAACTTTCTCTAAAGCAGATGCTATATTAGTTTCAATAAGTACAGGAAAATTAAAATAACTTTTGCCATTCTGAGTACAATAGAATCAAGCTAAAAATCATCAGTAAGAGAAACTACAGAAATAAACAAACTCATGAAGATTAAACAACACACTACTGGATGATGAATGGATCAATGAATAAATCAGGAAGAAAATTTAAATTTTCCTAGAATTGATGAAAAGAAGCTGGGTGTGGTGGTGCATGCCTTTAATCCCAGCACTCGGGTGGTAGAGGTAGGTAGATCCCTATTCAAGGCCTCATCTACTTATTGAGTTGTAGGCCATTCTGGTCTATATAGTATAAATGGATTCGAGGACCAAAATCACATGGTAAACTCAATAATGCATAGAAGGGCTTTCACAAAAATCTAACATCCCTTAATAAAATCTCCGAAGAGACTGGCAATAGAGGAAGTGTACCTCAACATAACAAAGATGACTATATGAAGAGACTGGCAATAGAGGAAGTGTACCTCAACAGAACAAAGACTGTACATGACAAACCCACAACCAACAGGTCTTTCTTTGGACCGCCAGCTCCTGAGTAATGACACAGAGACTTACTAATTATGAAAGCTTGGCCTTAGCATAGGCTTGTTCCCAACTAACTCTGAAAACTTAAATTAACCTGTTTCTATTAATTCATGTTCTGCCACGTGGCTCATTACCTCTCCTCAGTACCATACCTCCGACTTCCTCTGCATCTGGCTGGTGAATCTCCTGCCTCTCAGATTCTTCCCAGAGTTCCTATCTCTCCCCGGAAGTCCCGCCTATCCTCTCCTACCTAGCTTTGACCATTCAGCTCTTTATTAAACCAATCAGAAGGTGCGTCAGGCAAGTGAGGTAAAACATAGACACATCTTCACACAGTGTGATCAAATATCCTACAACCCTCATGTTAAATGGATAAAAAGCATTCCCACTAAGATCAAGAGTAAGAGAAGGTGCCCACTCTATCTCTACCCACTATAGGGCTCAGCCAGCAATAAGACAAGAGATATAAATAAAAGAGATACAAATAAAAAAAGAACCAAAATATTTCTATTTCCAGATGATATAATTCTATATATATGAGATTCCAAAATCGCCACAGAAAACTCATAGATCAGCAAAGTGGCAGAATGCAAAGTTAACCTACTAAAATCAGTAGGCTGTGCCAGTAAACATGATGACGATAAAACTCAAAAACATTACAGATTGTCTCAAAACAAAACAAAAATGCCTTGGAATAAACCTGAGCAAGGGAGTGAAAGATCTTTACAATGAAAACTTTAAAACACTGAAGAAAGAAATCGAGGAAGGCACTGGAAGATGGAAAGATCTCTCATGCTCATGGATTGGAAGAATTAAGTTTATGAACATTACCATTCTACCAAAAGCAGCCTACAGATTTAATGCAATCCCCAACAAAATTCCATTAACATTCTTCACAGAGAAATACAATCCTAAAGTCCATATAGAAAAAACCCTAGATAGTCAAAGCACTCCTGAGAAAAAAAGAATAATGCTGGAAAAACAGCACTGATTTTAAGTTATACTGCAGAGCCATAGCAATGAAAGCAGTGCACCACCACCATAAAAACACACAAAATTCAGATCAAAAGAACAGAATCCAGGACCCAGACACAAGCCCAAACATCTACAGCTGCCTGATTTTTGACAAAGATGCCAAAAATACATATTGGAGAAAAGACAGCCTCTGGTTGTGGTGCTGGGACAATGGCACATCAACATGTAGAAGAATGAAGCTGGGTTTATATTTGTTATTCTCCACAAAGATCTACTTCAAAAGGACCAAAGACCCTAACACAAGACCTGAAACAACAAATGGGAAGAGGTAGGCGAAGGTGAGGACTTCCAAATTAAACTCCAGTCTCTTGGGAAATAAGGACAGCTCACCAATAAGTGAGACCTCATGAAATCAAAACACTTCTTTACGTCAAAAGAAACGGTCAGTCATGTAAAAGACAACCTAGAGAATGGGAGAAAATCTTTTGTCAGCTCTACATCCCACAGAAAATTAATATCCAGAGGAAATGAAAAAGCTCAACAACAAGAAAATGGACAACTCAGTCACAAAGAGGACTAAGGCTACAGGAGTAGGCTGTCTTCCTACACAATGCTGGGCAAGGAGACCCCTGAAACCCCCAAAGTGATTCAAAATAATTGTCTTTGCTACTGCCTGCCTACCAGAACTTGATGATAAGACCATATTGCTGAAGATACCATACGTCTTGGTTACAGAATATAGAGAAATAAAGCTGGGGCTGGAAGCTTCCTCCCCATTGGCAAGCCCTCATGGTGCACGCAATGCAACTGACCGCCCAGGTAAGGTGTGCCAATAGGTGCAAGAGTGGCCAGGTTTGTTCCGAGGATCTGAAGCCAATTCTACAGAGGGAAATCATGTCTGATACTGTAAATCTGGTCCAAACCCCATGGTTGGGGAGATCATTAGACCCCAGTGGGAAAGCTGCTGCTGTTGTTTTGGTAAATAGACACGATGTACCCATCAAATTGAAACTGAAAAGAACCTCGGGGCATGATATGGCGGTGGAGCTCAAATTAACAGTAGCTAGGAGTCCTTGTACAACAATGTGTCCTCCAGCCTTCTGTCCCTGGAGGGTCAATATTCTTCACCATTTACAGGACACCTGAATTTTCAGCTTTTGTGAAATTCTTGGTTATACCACTAATCCTTTGTGAAAATAAAATGAAAAGGGGCTCACAAAGCCTCCTGCACTCAGAGGCCTTGTGAGTCCCTTCCAGAGGCCTCCTCTAAAAGTCTGTTGATGGTGAGGCAGGAGAATTAATAAGGCAGAGGGTAGGGTCCAGAAGGACTCCCACAAAGCCTTGCAAAATTAGCATATGAAAAAAGCAAGTTGGCATAAATCAAAGATTGGAAACCACCCCTATGAAGCTGACTGAAACCTGCTCGCACTACTGGCATGGGCACAGAGGCACTCCAGGGTGTCTATGGGTAGCCTGTGGCCCACTGTGATACCACTGGGTGGAGATACAGAATGCTGGGGAAACAGGAAGTTGTATACAGAACTACACATAACAGAACATGCAGGAAAAAGCTTCCCTATGCAGATGAGCCCCAAAGCCCACACTAAGGTAACAGAAAAACCCCAGCTCTGCTGGACTGTTGAGCTGCTGAGCCTCCCTGTCCCGGCCAGATTCCTCCCTTGGAAGTGTATCTTTTCCTAATATTGTTTCTGCTGCAACTCTATGTCTCTAATTCCTTGCTAAGGGATTAGAAGAACCTGGAATCCCTCTCAGTATCAGCTGATACCAACAAGAAACTTGGTACCATTCTGGTTCTGCAGCCTTGCTATTTGGTGGTAACAGTGGTTTTCAAAGCAGCCAAATGAACATTCCCTAAAGGCAGGCAGTGCTAGAGAAAGCTGCTGAATGAATAAGCAGGTGACTTCAGTGAGGACAGTCATCGGTGCTGGCTCAGGTCCAAAGTGTGGATTCCAGGACTCAGGAACACTTGCCTAGCATGCACAAGGCCCTTGGCTTAATACTGAGCCCTGGAAGGGGATGGGGGACAGCAAGGAGATCCCACTGTATATTTCCCATAATCTGCACTTTAAACAGAAACCCAGAGGACAACTTACACCTTTGTCCCAATCAGGGACTCAAGACACTGGGAAAGAGCCGTGCAATACAGCTCACACCTTCCCTGGCTGGATGCAAGTAGTATCGTTGTTATGAGGCGAGCCTGCAGTTCCTACCCCTCCAGGGCCCTCATGTATAAGTGATGCCTGAAACGTGAGGCCACACTGTCCTTGGCAGAGGAACCAGAGCAGAGGAGTGTGGGGATGGATTGACGGGCTGAAAACTCGTTGTGTCCTTCCCCATCTTTCTCCCCAACAAAACCTACCTCTACTTTCAATCTCAGAGCAGCTCCAGCTGCTGTTAGGTCCCAGGAAGAGAGGCCAGTGACCATGACAGCATGAGAGCACCCCAGGCTGGAAGTATATGAAGATGTGAGCCAGTGTGAGGACCTTGATATTCTGATGACCATGAGCCGCCAGTTAAAGAGCCTGGAGGAGGAAGGTGAGTCCTCAGCTTGATCCTCAAAGGCCTACCTACCAGGTCTCTTGGCACAGTGGATATAGGGGAAACAGTCTCAGGGTCATGGGAAGGCCCTGCATTTGAGTTCAGATCCTACAAATTGAGCTGAGGAACCTCAGGTGGCTACTTAGTCTCTTCCTATTCACCAGTGGGATGAGGGTAGTTGTCACTTCCTTGCAGGGCTCATACAGGAACTGAAAATAACCTGTGCAGAGGGTCATGTAGAGCCCACATTAATGAACTTGCTGGAACTGGCCACCCATCTGTATGATCTTAAGAGCTTATTGTTTACAGCTGTGTCCCCTTAACAATTCTCACCCACTGTGTCTGTCTGTCTGTTGTACATGGGGAGATAGGAGAGAGTTCTGAACTTAAGACTTTTCCAAGGTATCAGGGAAATGTTGGACTTAGAACTTTTTGAATAAAGTAACTGGAGCCAGGTCCCAGTCTGCAGACTCCCACAGTGAAATGCGGCTGCTGCCAGGAGACTTTCCAGAGGGCAACCACCTGCCTTCTTCCTGGCCTTGGGCGCATGGTGAAGTGAGAAAGCCATCAGAGCAGCTCTCAAGCATGGAGGATGGGGATGGAGGGGGTGAGGCAGTGTGGAGGGTGATGGGCTCCTGGGTAGTGTGCCAGGCTCATGTTAGCCCTGAACTTCAGCCATCCCACATTCTCCTTCCTCTCACCACCACCCCCTCATTCCTTCTTTCCTTGCTCAATAACAAGCATGATTCTTTTCTGGGTAGCAGTTGGTTTAACTGGGAAGGAGGCATGAGGTCATGTTGTTGGTTGTTTTTATTCTTTTGGGGGGCCCACCAAGAATAAATCACACACAGAAGTTTATTTTAATTATAAATGTCTGGCCTTAGCTTGACTTGTTGCTAGCCAGCTTTTCTTAATGTTAACTTGTCCTGTCTTTTGCCTCTAGGTTTTTCCCCATTCTCTTACTTCTGTAAATCTTACTCTTACTCTGTGGCTTGCTATGTAGCTGGGTGGCTAGCCCCTGGAGTCCTCCTCCTTCTCTGACTACTTCTTCTGCTCCTCCCAGATTTCTCCTTCTATATATTCTCTCTGCCTGCCAGCCCCACCTATGTCTCTCTCCTGCCTCACTACTGGTCATTCAGTTCTTTATTAGGCCAGTCAGGTGTGTTGGATAGGCAAAGTAACACAGCTTCACAGAGTTAAACAAATGCAACATAAACAAAAGCAACACACCTTAAAATAATCTACAACGTCAAGCAGAGATGGCCTGCTGCTCAGCCTCTGTTTCAACAAGGATATTCCCAGACTAGAGACACTTTGAGCTTTGCCTTGGTAAGCTATAGACATTCATTATCCCAGGGACAAGCAGCACCTATCAGGTGGTGCAGCCAGGACCCACACCCAAAGGCCGCCCTCCCTCCAAAGGGCACCTCTCATCTCCCAACAATCTTTTTGTAGCCGGGGCTTAAGCAACTCCCCCTGGGAATGTGATTACAGCATTTCTGTGACCTGTGAGGAAGCTATCCAGCCCCCAGGGACAAGAGAAGCTGAAGAGGCCCTAGAAGCTACAAAGAGGGAGATTCTCCTCCATTGCCATGACTTCAAATTCTCATGTCAATAAACGTATCTAAACACAGAAGACTGTGCTAATGAATGCTAAAGTCCTGCACGCTATTGCCACTTCCTGGTCTCCTTGTGCTTGCAATTGCTTCCTAAGGGACGGGATTACAGCCATGTGCCACCATGCCCAGCTACTTGTGAATATTTTGAAATACTTAATTTGTATAATCGTTTATTTATGTGTTATAAGCCAATCACATAAGCTCCTCTAATCTTTTTTACTTTGAATTTTCTATACAATTATATTTTGATCGTTTTCCCCTTTCCCCAACTCCTCTCAGATACCCCCCCACCTCCCTACCCACCCAACTTGATGTTCTTTTTCTCTTTTTCAACCTCTCTCTCTCAAAAAAAAAAAACCCACAAAAATAAAAATCAAAACTAACCAGCAGCCTGGCGGTGGTGATGCACACCTTTAATCCCAGCACTCAGGAGGCAGGCACAGGCAGATCTCTGTGAGTTCGAGGCCAGCCTGCTCTACAGAGTGAGTTCCAGGACAGGCACCAAAGCTACACAGTAAAGCCCTGTCTTGAAAAACAAAAACAAAACCCTAACAAACAAAAGACCAATAAAATAGAAAATACCAAAACAAAACAAAATTAAGTAAGTCCACACACACACACACACACACACACACACACACACAAACAAAACCAACAAAACATGGAGTTCCTTTTGGCCAACTACTGGACACGTGATCTACCCTGGAGTATGGTTGATATACTCAGTGACACTCCATCAGAGAAAACTGATTTCCCCTTTCCCAGCAGATATCAATTGCAAATAGCTTCTTAGTGAGGGGTGAGACCTCATGTCTACTTCCCCTCCCAATGCTGGGACCTTGTCTGACTTAACCCCTTGCAGGTCTTATATGTGCTGCCATGGTCTCTTTGAGTTCAAATATGCATCAGTCCTGTTGTGTCTGAAAGACATTGTTTCCTTGGAGTCATCTATCCCCTCTGGATCTTACAATCTTTCTGCCTCCTCTTCCTCATAGATCCCTGAACCTTGAGAGGAAGGGTTTGATGAAGACATCCTATTTAGGACTGAGTACTCCAAAATCTCTCACTCTCTGCACATTGTCCAGTTGTGAGTCTCTGTATGGATTCACATCTACTGCAAGAAGAATCTTCTCTGATGTGGGTTAAGTGAGGCACTAATCTGTGGATGTAGCAAAGGGTCATTAGGAGTCATTTTACTGTTATGTTCTTTTAGCAGAATAATAGCATTTGGTTTTCCCTAAGTCATGACCTATCTAGCCTCAGGTTCTTGGCCACATTAGCAGTGTCGGGTATGTGTTCCACCTCATGGAGTGGGCCTTAAATCCAATTTTTAAAAGTGGCTAATTACATCCCTAAAATTTGGGCCACCATCACACCAATATATCTTGCAAGAAGGTTGCTGTTATAGGTCACAGGATTTATATCTGGGAGATAATGATGATAACCTTTCACCTCTGGCAGGTGTAAAGTACCTTACACTACCATGAACTCTATTCAGGAAGGCTGTAGCTTTCAGTCAGGCACCAGCTCCACTTCTCTGTGTTGAATGACATAAGTAAGTGTTGTCTTCAGCAATAGGACCTTACCATCAGGTTGTGGAGAGCAGCCAATAGCCTGTAATGTTTGGGGGGTTCCATGGTACTCTTTTGGCCAATGACTCAACAAGATGTAGCCCATTCCTGGCACTAAAGGTTTTACTTGGTGACATAAGATGTCTAGTTGTGGCATCATCCCCTCATTATTTGGTGATTTGATTTATCTTCCTTTGATATTGTATATATTTCAGGACGCTTCCACAGTAGTAGGTTTCCATGTGGCTTTTCTTTTTTTTTTTTTTTTTTCGGTTTTTTGAGACAGGGTTTCTCTGTGTAGCTTTGCGCCTTTCCTGGAACTCACTTGGTAGTCCAGGCTGGCCTCGAACTCACAGAGATCCGCCTGGCTCTGCCTCCCAAGTGCTGGGATTAAAGGCGTGCGCCACCACCGCCCGGCCCATGTGGCTTTTCAAATGTCCTTTAGAGTTAGTTGCCTCTTCCCCTATTGCTGTGAGATGTCTTTCTGTATGCTGTGAATATGTGTTGCTCTGATTGGTTGATAAATAAAGCTATATTGGCCTATGGCAAAGCAGCTTAGAGGCAGGCAGGAAATACAAGCAGATAGACAGGAAGAAGAAAGGCAGAAGGGAAGAGACGTGAACCAGCCACCCAAAGGGCAACATGTAATGGGACACAGGTAAAGCCACAGAACATGTGGCAATACATAGAGTAATAGTTACGGGTTAATTTAAGATATAAGAGCTAGCTAGCAAGAGGCCTGCCATAGAGTATACAGTTTGTAAAGAATATAAGCCTCTATGTGTTTACTTGGGTCTGAGTGACTGCAGGATCGGGTGGGATGCAGGAAAACTTCTGACTACACCCTATTTCCTCCTTTACCCTGCCTTTCCATCCCGATCCCTATTTAATCTTCCTATTCTCGTTTCCTCTCTCTCTCCATAACACTGCGCTTCAATTCCCCTTCCTTGAGAGATCCTCTCCTCCCCTCTGGTCCTAACCTCTGTGGTTATTCAAATTGTAGCACATGTATTGAAAGTTTAAACGCTAGCATCCACACATAAGAGAAAACATACAGTATTTATCTTTTGAGGTCTGGGTTACCTCATTCAGGGTGATTTTTTTTTTTCTGGCTCAATCCATTTACCTGTAAGTTTCACAATTTCATTTTTCTTCCTTGATAGTGAGATGTATTACTTGGGTACAGCAGAAAGATGGATTCTGTTTTCTAATCCAATCTATTAATCTATGTCTTTTTATTGGAGAATTGAGACCATTAATGTTGAAAGTTTATTTTATTTTTGTTTGTTTGTTTGTTTGCTTGTTTGTTTTTGAGACAGGGTTACCTGTGTAACAGCATTGGCTGTCCTGGAACTCAATTGTAAACCAGGTAAGCCTTGAACTCACAGAGATCCTCCTGCCTCTGCCTCCTGAGTGCCAGAATCAAAGGCATGTGCCACCATACTTGGCTAATGTGGAAAGTTATTAATGAGCCATGTTTATTGATTCCTGTTATTTTGTTCTTGTGATGTGGGCATTTCCTCCCTCATTTTATTTACTATTCTTAGATTAATCATTCCCTGTGTCCTTGGATGTAGTTAATTTCTTCCAACTGAAGTTTTGTTCTAGCTTCTTCTGTAGAGCTGGATTGGTAGAAATTGCTTAAATTTGGTTTTATCATGGAATGTTTTTCTTTCTCCATCTACTGTGATGGAAAGTTTAGCTGCATATAGAATATGGGGTGGCATGTGTGGTCTCTTGGAGTCTGTAGATCATCTGTCCAAGTCCTTCTGGCTTTTAGTGTTTATTGAGAAGCTGGGTGTTATTCTAATTGGGTCTTTCTTTATATATTACTTGGTCTTTTTTTCCTTTTCAGCTTTTAATATTCTTTGTCCTGTACGTTCAGTGTTTTGATTATTATGTGTTGTGGAAATTTCTTTTCTGGTGCCATCTATTTGGTTTTATTTATGCTTCTTGTATCTTGATAAGCATATCTTCCTTTATATTAAGGAATTTTTTTTTCTATTTCTGTTAAAAGATATTTTCTGTGCCTTTGACCTGGGTTTCTTCTCCTTCCTCTATTCCTATTATTCATAGATTTGGTGTTTTCATAGTGTCCCAAATTTCGTGGATGTTTTGTGCCTGAATTTTTTTTAGGTTTTACATTTTATTTGCCCAAGATGTCAATTTCTTCTACCTTGTCTTCAACACCTGAAATTCTCTCTTCCATGTCTTGTAATCTGTTGGTGAGGCTCTCCTCTGAGGGTTTTGCTTAATATTCTAAATTTTTCATTTTCAGTTTTATTTTAGTTTAGGTTTTCTTTAGTGATTGTATTTCTTTGTTAAATTCTACTTCCATAACTTAAAATGTTTTCTTACTTCATTCAACTGCATTTTTACAATTTCATAAGGCATTTATTTATTCATATCTTCTTTGAGGTCTTGAAGTTATTCAAATTGCTATTTTGAGTCCTTGTCTTGTACTTCAGCTAAATTGCTCTTCTCAGGACTTATTGCAATAGGATTGCTGGCTTCCAGAGGAGGCATATTGTCTTGGCTGTTTGTGTTTGGTTTTGCACTGGGATCTAGACATCTGGAGTTTTGATGTTTGAAGTTTTATTGGTATGGATATCTGTTGTCATCTTCGTTGGGTAGGTTCTTGTTTTTTGGGTTTGTTTTTTTTTTTGTTTTGTTTTTTTAAGACAGGGTTTCTCTGTGTAGCTTTGTGCCTTTCCTGGATCTCGCTCTGTAGACCAAGCTGGCCTTGAACTCACAGAGAGGAGGTGTGACTTTGTTGGAGTAGGTATGGCCTTGTTGGAAGAAGTATGTCCCTGTGGGGGTGGGCTTTGATGTCTCATATGTGCCAAATCATGCCTAGTGCTTCAGTCCATTTCCTGTTGCCTTCTGATCAAGATGTAGCCAGCACCATGTCTGCCTGTACATTGCCATGCTCCCCGCCATGATGCTAATGGGCTGAACCTCTGAAACTGTAAGCAAGCCCTCCCAATTAAATGTTTTCTTTATGAGTTGCCGTGGCCATGGTGTCTCTTCACAGCAATGGAAACCCTAACTAAGACAGAGGCCATTCTCATTCAAACCACCACAGCATTGGAAGTCTGCACATGAATCTACTTTAAAGCAAAGAACCACAAATACAGGAGGAAGAAAGGCACCTATATGGATCTATAACCAAGGTTTAGGTAAGATCAGGGGGAAGGCAGCAAGTTGGATGAGGACAACAACCCTCTCAAACTAGAAGTTTCCCAAATAGGTCTTTGGGGTTGTGGGGTGTACAGGTTTGTGGTTGAGATTTCTATAGCAAGACAGGTTAACAAGAGACAAGTGTACAAATCCATTTAAGCTTTATGAGACACAAGAGCTTCAGAAATGAAGACCAAAAACTCTAGGGAGAATTGCACTTTCATTAACTATGTTCGAGAACACTAGAGCATGAGCTAATGTTGGTCAGACATGAGGAAGTCTGTGTTCAGCTTCTTGGCTTCTCTTCTCCTAATGTGATAGGACTGGACACCTCTCTATCAGTGTGGGTCTCCAGGGATACAAGGGAAGGCCAGAGAGTGACTATCTGTGGTTTCTCAATTTTCTTAGCACAAAGCATTCGGTATACCAAGATGCTATATTTGAGGGCATCATATTCTGAGCTCAACAGAGCTAGTAGGCTCTAGGAAGCACGTTGGATATTTGTTACCCAACCCCTACAAGGGAGTGATGCTTTCTTAGGCTGAGTCCTGTGGAGCCACCACTGTCCATTTTCTGCTTTTGCAGGTGACAAGTCAGCAAGGAGACCCTCCAGGAAACAAACTTCCACAGCTGCAGGTCCCCAAGACAGGCACCATGCCCAGTCTAGCCGGAAGGAGCCTGCTAAGGGTAGCCCCAGGCCAGGGTCTTCCCGGAGGAGGCAGATGGAACACGGAAGCTTTCACAAGGGGCTTCGGGGACAAAAACCATGCAAAGTGGAGAGGCCTTCCCAGGGGAGAAAGAAGGACCGGAGGACTTCCCTCAAGAAGCAGAGAACACCTCCAAAGAAGGAAAGGGAGACTCTGGGGAAGGAGACAGGCAAGCAGCTGAGGAAATCCAGGTGTGTTGTAACTGTGATTAGCTACCCTCTTCCCAGCCCTGGGATGGGGTGGTTTTCACTTTGGGGAGAAGTAGCTACTTGCTCTTGCTCCTACTTTCCCAGACCATCACATGTAGAACAGCCCCAATACACTGTTTATTATAGCAGCTCATATTGCAAGTGAAGCTCTGGGTGTGGAGAGGTGGCCCAGACAGAGTAGAGATAAGATCTCAAGGTTCCTGACTTTCAGCTGGTGACTCACTGTCACTCCAGCTGAAAATAATGAATGGCATTGGATTTGGAAGTTCTACAGGGATCATGCACACATGATCCTTCATGCGCACATAGGTGTGTAAGTACCCTTCTCTCTTCTAGAAATATGACAGTCTAGAACTTGAAGAGCTCTGCCAGCTCTGAGCCTATGGGCATTGGGATGACTGACTTGGAATCCTTTGTTCCACTAGTATATGGGGCAGTAGACAGGCAGCTAATGGAATCTACAGGTCAGGTTTCTACAGGTGGCTTTTGGTGGCTTCTCTTTGGCACTCATTAGACACAGTCTATGATTTACTTGCTTCTAGGGATATTTGAAGAATCCCTTATGATGATGAATGGGGAGGCTTTTGAAGCAGGTGTGAGAATTAGGGTAATGGCAAACACCTGATGTTCCTTCTGGGTTCCAGCATGCTTTCTTTGCTCATACTGTTGACAGAGTCAGTTAGGACCAGAGCCTGGACCCTGACATACTCAATAAGAGAAAAGAAGAGAAAGGAGGTGTAAATGTAACTGACTGTATTATTAAATAAGAATCACAGAACCAATGCAAAGAAGAAAGCCAAGAGATCAGAGCTAAGAGCCTTACCCGCCTGCTGCAGCTAGCCTCTTCAGCCAAGAGACCTCTCCGAAAGAGACCTACTTTCTGTCTGTTTGTCTTTATATAGACTTTCTGTTCTGCCTTCTCATTGGTTGTAAACCCAACCACATGACTGCCTCGTCACTGCCTGTCTGTACAGACCTCCAGACACACATTGGAGCATGTGTCTCCAATGCTGGCTGTATCCTTGAACACACAGAGATCTACCTAGCTCTGCCTACGAAGTGCTGGGATTAAAGGCATGAGCCACGAACGCCCAGCTCTGCTATGGCTTGCTATTAGCTCTGACCCCCGGGCAACTTTATTTATTAACATACAATTAAAATCACATTTCAGGACGAATAAAATACCACCATAAGGAGGTTTACTAAATGTTGCCGGGCGGTGGTGGCGCACGCCTTTAATCCCAGCACTCGGGAGGCAGAGCCAGGCGGATCTCTGTGAGTTCAAGGCCAGCCTGGGCTACCACGTGAGTTCCAGGAAAGGCGCAAAGCTACACAGAGAAACCCTGTCTCGAAAAACCAAAAAAAAAAAAAAAATGTAACCACTTTGGGAAGAGGAACAAAGAGGTCCAGTAGCCACCACCCCTCCCACCCCAAGTCTATCTTGAGGCCCTGACATGAAGTTTAGGTTTAAATAAAGAGCAGGGGTGTGTATAACTAGGCAGTCCTGTTCAAGACATGGTCCAGCCCATCGTCGGTTCATGTCCAATCTCTCTGCAAAGTGGTCTGACATGCTGTGAGAACTGTGTGAAATCTCTTCCTGTTCTTCCTCTGGCTGGCACCAGGATTCAGCCTTTTGCTTCTCCCAGCATGAGATTCCTTGGAAATTCTAATTCCTGGGTCCATTGTTGCAATAATCTCAGAACACACGGGAGAGGCACAAGTGTTTCTTTGGAATATCTTCATTCCCGGCTGGAGAGGTGGCTTAGTGGTTAAGAGCACGTACTGCTTGCTCTTCCAGAGGACCCAAGTTCAGTTCCCAGCACCTATGTTAGGCAGTTCATAAATGCCTCTAATTCCAGCTCCAGGGACCCAATGTTCTCTTCTGGCCTCCTCAGCATTGTACTCAGACGCACATACCACATACTGACAACACATTTGTTTGTATTGGGAGGTTGTACTCCTGCACAGTATTAACAGGCCTTGGCTCCCAAGTGCTGGGATTATAATCACATGCCACCATGCCTCGATTTTTCTTTTGGTTGTTTGTTGTTGTACCCCGGATTGAACCCAGGTCCTTTTGCATTCAAAGCACATGCCCTGCCATTAAGCTATACCTCCAGCTAGCTTGAGTGCATTGTTGATTGCCCTTGGGTATTTTAAATTTTAGAAGGAACACGTACCCTAAATGACATATGCAATATAAGGCGTTACAGACAAGAACTCAAGGGTGCCGTTTTTAGCTGACTGTCATGACAGGGATGAAAAGACTCAGCCCTGCTTCCCCAGATGCTGATTGTCTAGTAGGAAAGATGAGACTCAATTAAGACAAGGCAGAAAGCAACGTGCACACAAGACAAGATTTGATAGTGTTGTACTGCTGGGGCCCTGGGGCATCACATTTCTGCTACAGAGCAGGTGAGCATTTCAGTAAGTATCTGAAGGACAGGTGGAATTTAAACAAACAATGGCAACTCCCTCCCATGAGGGAAAACATCATATTTAAACAAACAATGACAACTCCCTCCAATGAGGGAAAACATCATTCAAAGACTCAAAGACAGCTATCACTGGGAATGTGTAAGGTATGACCAAAAGTGCCTATGGCTGGGTTTTCTGCATCCAAGGTTATGCTAGATTTCTCTATTTCCAAGAGTTAAGAAACTAAAACTCACAGAGATTTCTGTAAACTGGTCCCTAAAACCTGAAGGTAGCAGTAATCCAGATTAATCTCTTTATGAGCCTTGTTAAGGTTTTCCAGACATAATGTCTTAGTTCATATTCTACGGCTGTGAAGAGACACCATGACCAAGGAAACTCTTACAAAAGAAAACATTTAATTGGGAGCTTGCTTACAGCTTCAGAGGGTTAGTCTGTGATCATTATGGTGGGAAGCAGACAGACATGACTCTATGACAGTAGCTGAGAGCTTTACATCCTGATCCAGACAGCAGAAAGAGAGAGAGGCAATGGGCCTGGCTTGAACTTTTGAAACGTCAAAGCCCACCCCCAGTGACACACCTCCTCCAACAAGGCTACACCTCCTACTCCTTCTCAAATAGTTCTACTAACTGGGGACCAAGAACATATGAGCCTATGGAGGCTGTTCTCATTCAACCAGCACACATGACCCTTCTCTAGACTCTCTTTCCACCTCCCCCATCAGCTACCGCGTCACTTTATCCCCAAGGATACACAAAGCACACACAGGAATTTGGATCCTGAAGCAGTTGAGCAGGCAGTATTACCAGGGCACAGGGAGGGGCATAGCACGGGGGTTCTTGACAGAAATTCTCTGTAGTTGTGTTAGCCAGACAATAACCACTAGGCATTGAGCACTTGAAATGTGGCCAGGGAGACCGAAGAAATAAGTTTCCAACTTGATTTAATGTGGCATAGTTTAAATTTGACATTAATGCAACCGAGTTAGTGAATTTATTTAACTTGGACAGACAGAGTTTTGAAACTGACCTGAACTGACTTTGGAATCAAAGTATTTTGTTAATGATATAAACATCAAAGAAAAATAACCTTATATCACTTGATTTGGAAGAAACTTTTTAAAGCATGTCTAAAACAATTTGTGTATGCATATCGACTTTTTCAACTATAATTTTACAAGCTACAAGTAGAAAATATTTATGATGGAAATTTGATGTCTGAATTGGCACGCACTGTAAATGAAGAGTAGATATCAGGTTGTGAAGACAGTACCAAAAGACTATTAATAGAGTATTTTGGCTAAGCAGTGGTCATGCACACCTTTAAACCCAGCATTTGGGAGACAGAGGTAGATGGACCTCTGTGAGTTCAAGGCCAGTCTGGTCTACAGAGCGAGTTCCAGGACAGCTGGGGCTACCCACAGAGAAACCCTGTCTCCAAAAACCAAACAAACAAACAAACAGAAAAACTATAGAGAGTATTTTGATGATTTTTACATTGATCATGTTAAAACTATAATTTGATTGAATGAATGAAATAAATTATTAATTTTATCCATTTTATGTCACCATTTAAAAATAGGGCTCTTAAAAAACTTTAAGTTAAAATTTCCTAATTTTGTGAGTATTGAGCTGAGGTTTGCAGCCATAGGAAGTCTCTGATATGTCAGAGGCCTCCTCACGCCTTTGTGTTGAGTCATGCTCTTGCTCACTTATCTATAAAACTGCAACCTAGCTCTGAGTTGGAGTGAGACAGGTGTCCTCAGCCTAAGATACACCTGCTCTGGGCCCATCATTGAACGTGTTCCTTTGACTTATCCTGACTGGTGCCGGGGCTCATGAATAGCTATTCTGACTCAAAGTTCAATCTCATATGACAGAGTGCATTTAGATTTCACTGGTCGTTCTCAGTATTATGTTACATTCAAAGAAAGTTTCTAACAAACTATTGATACAGGGAAAATCCAGGTTTCCCCTTGGGGTTCTTAGTCTCATTAATAAAAGAACTTCAGAGTAGACTCAAACAGAAACTCAAGGACAATTTTGTTAAGGTTTAAAATAACCCCAGAGCAGGCCAGCTGTAAACTGCAGCTGCTGCCCAGAGAATGGAGGAGAGAAAGGAGAAAGCCATGCCATTTAAGATGGTATGGAAGCCAGACACATGATGGACAAGCAACCACACCATGTGGAGGGAGGCTTTAGAGAATGTGTAAGGAAGTCCAAAATGTTGGGTTAAGTCCAAAGTGCTAGGGAAAGCATGCTTAGAAAAGAGGAGGAAGAAAAGCTATGCTTTTCTGGATAACTCAAAAACAAACAAACAAAAAAAAAAACCAAGCAGACTTATGAGCTACATGACTGTAGCCTGGTAAGCTGCTACACTGGGGGCCTGAATGGGGAGAAGAAAGGGGAGAGCTGTGTGTTATTGAAGGACTAATTATTCCGCCCACTTCTTTAGCATGGCATAAGGTGAACCCACCTTCCTAAGGGTGGTCCCTAGGCCAAGAGATTGACCCTGCCTAACTGGAATGTTAGGTCTCCACCCAGGTCAGAGATTCTATTCTCTTGACCAGAAAGAGTTGTTGTTGTTGTTTAATGGACTTTTATTGTTGTTATAACACTATGGGAAAAAATGACAGAAGAAAATAGGTGAGTTTAAAAAAAATCAGTGAGACAAAAATGCTTATTATGTGGATCTGAGTACTTGGGGATCTAGGGAGAGTCATTATATAGGGACAATTGACCCTTGTTAGATCATAAAAGTCTTATTTCTTCCTGTTCAGTGTAAGGGATTAAGCTCTAAATTCTGAATGCAATAATCTGGTAACCTCAGCATGCTCACTGCTTGAGGATATCACTGCCCCTTAGAAGTGGGACTAATACCTGTGATCATATTTTACCATTTCAACAGGAGCTTTTCAAATGAAAAACATGCCATGCTGTTCATATTTATAAATGATTTGGGGACAATAAAGGACTTTCTCATTACTCTAAATTTGTAATGAAAGTATTTTAAATAAAGTTTTAAGATTAAAAAAAATTACTAGTGTGTGTCTTAGGGTTTCTATTGCTGTGATGAAACACCATGACCAAAAAGCAAGTTGGAGAGGAAAGGGTTTATTCTGCTTACACTTACATATCACTGTTCATCACCGAAGGAAGTCAGGACAGGAATTCAAACAGAGCTGGAACCTGGAAGCAGGAGCTGATGCAGAGGCCATGGAGGGGTGCTGCTTACTGGCTTGTTCCTCATGGCTTGCTCAGTCTGCCTTCTTATATAATGCAGGATCATCTGCCCAGGAATACCACCCACCATAGGCTGGGCCCTCTCCCACCAATCACTAATTAAGAAAATGCCTTTCAGGTTTGCCTACAGCCCATTTTTCCGGAGGCATTTTCTTAATTGAGGCTTCCTACTCTCAGATGACACTAGCTTGTGTCAAGTTGACATGAAACTAGCCAGCACAGTCTGTGTGGACAGAGGTAAATGCCCCTGTGCATATTTGAAGGTCACAGAACAACTTTGTGGAGTTGATTCTGTCCTTGTGACTTTATGTGGTTCCAGAGATCAAACTCCAGGCATCAGGCTTGCCTGGCAAGTGCTTTGCCATGTAAGCCCTGAAATCCTTACAAGAACGGAAGAGGGAACAAACGAATGAACGGAGAAAAAATTTAAATTACAAGTGGCTCACCTTTTATTTCTATTGGACACCACTGTGCTAGAGTGTGTATGAATGGAGAACTCAGAGAAATCAAGTTTGAGAAGGCAACCTAGGCATACCTGAGGCTAGAGAATACAGTTTTGGCCTCCTCTCGCTGGCAGCGGGAGTCACTGCCTGTTCCTGGTAGAGACAGGCTCCATCAACTCTGTGAGTGTCAAAGATCCTGCCCATTTTTCTTGAGAACTCCTCCCATCCAGAGTCCTTCTAACTCTCATCAATTCTGTCATGGCTCTGCCTCTAGGTCCACTTCCTTAGCCTCCAGTGTCTCCACTGGAGAGTCCCTGTCTGAGGAGGAGCTGGCTGAGATCCTGGAGCAGGTGGAAGAAAAGAAGAAACTCATTGCCACCATACGGAACAAACCCTGGCCCATGGCAAAGAAGCTGAGGGAGCTCAGGTGAGCGAGCTGTGGGGAGGGGGGACCTGGCCCATGGCAAAGAAGCTGAGGGAGCTCAGGTGACTGGGCTGTGGAACAAACCCTGGCTATGGTGAGGACACTGGTGGAACTCAGGTGAGTAGGCTATAGGCAATGCTTCCCATGGCACAGGAGGCTTGTCTTGTGCAGAAAAGGGGCAGGCTGTCCTCTTCTTTGCCCCGGTGGGATGGACAGGAAAGGAGATCTGCCCCTCCAGCCTCCCCACTGTAAGCATGGCACACATAGATGCATCAGAGTGCGGCAGCCTTCAAGATCTGCAGGCATCGATCTGCGCCCAACCTTCCATTGCTTACAGCCATCTCATCCCCAGGTGCAGCCATTCCCATGGCTGCCTTTCTTTCCACCCTGGAGGAGACTTGGTCCCACTTCCTGTCCATCCGTCAGTAGTCTCGCCTTCTCCTTCAAACATTTTGATTCATCCTCCCACACAGAAGCCCCTCCTTGGCCTTCCTTCAGTGATGCAACTTTCCCCAGGAGCTGGCTTCCATGGCAGGATGACCAGGGACTGCTGTGGCATGACCTTAGCACATTTCTGACCGACTCTGCCCCAGCCGCCTCAAGGTCGAGTTCTGACTGAGCTTATCTGGCTCTGATGAGGAACCCCTGAAGAGAGGTGTCACAGTTGCTATGGTCTTCTCTAGTCACCAACTCCTGCCCCTTGGTGTCTTCTGCCTAAGACACAAGGGAACACAGTCCAAGATCTGAAGTGTGGCTTTGTTTTCTGTCCGCAGCTTCAAGGCCCATCCCACACTGAGTCCCAACTGTCTCTTCAGCTGGCACATGCAGACATTGAATATGTATTCTGAACATCTGCAGATGCCTCTGGGCTGCACATATGCCACTGGAACTCTGCTAAGCATGTTGACACTCACGCATAGCTACCAAGGCTGACAGGCAGGCCCAGCACTCCTGTACCAAGGCCCTTAGGTAGTTTTCTCGTAGCCTCTGTGGGAGCACTGAAGTGATGAATCCCACCTGACTAACTGCCATGCACACACTGAGACTTGGCCTAGGGTCCCTTCTGCAGGACATCCCCCTTACCCCTTTCTGCACTCAGAGCTTTATGCTCTCGTTTGCAAAGCTGTGCCTAGTCACTATTTGCTGAGCATTCCTTAGATGCTAGGCCCTACTCTAAATGCAGTAAATGTAGCAATCCTATTTCCTCAAAACAGACCTGTGAAGCAGATACTATTTTATTCCCGTGTGTACTGATGAGGAAACTGAGTCACAGAACCACCAAGTAATTTGCCCAGTATTCCACAGCAAGTTAAGTGATCCAGTCTGGATTTGAACTCAGAAACTCTGGCTCTAGAGCCTATACTGTTAATCACTTCTCCAGAATTACCAGACGTTGTAGAATGCACCCCCTTGCCTGCTGTAGACTCTTCTAGCAGTTAAGTCTCTGTCTCAGTTACTTTTCTATTGCAATGATAAGACACCATGCAGGACCAAGGCAACTTACAAGAGAAAGTTTATCTGAGGCTCATGGTTTCAAAGGGTCAGAGTTCATGATAATGAAGCTGAGGTAGCAGGCAGCAGGTGTCCAGAGCCTCCACTGAGAGGCTCACCTCTTGAACCACAAGCAAGAGGCAGAGGGCACAGTGAGGACTGGGTGATTCATTTGAAACCCCAAAGCCTACCCCCACCCCACCCAGTGACACACCACCTCCAGCAAGGCCACACCTCCTGGTCCTTCCTAAATAGTTCCATCAGCTGGGGACCAGGTATCCAAACATATGAACCTATGAGGACCATTCTCATTCAAACCACCAAAGTCTCCAACTGCAAATGGCACTCCTAGAGTCTATATCCTCTTTTTTAGAAGCAATGCTGTGGGCCTCAGCCTCTGACACACTTATGAGGCTAGCTGACCTAAGCATATGGCTAGACACTGCCTAAGAAGGATGGCCAGGTACAAAGAACAATGATGGCAAGCAGAACAAATCCCAGTTTATGCCCTGGCCCCATCCAAGTGTTTTTGTGTTTTGACTGGATCCTTAATCACTCAAACTGATTCCCTTCTTCTAGCCTTTCAGCTTCACATTCCTCATTTTCTCCACAAATTCTAAATATCAAGTGCCCTAGACAGAATTAGTAAACAATAGTTAGCGTTATTATTAAAGTTTAAATATCTCTTGTGCCAGATACCATGCTGAGTCCTGAAAGATGAGGTTGGGGAATAAAGATGAATCAGAGAAGCACAGGGGCATCGTTGACAATGGGACAAAGCAGGAGGTGTTACTGGCATAAGAATGTCCAGTGCCCATGAGTTGAGGACATTGCTTTAATCACAGTCACGTGGTTCTTGCTTTGTCAGGCCCGAACTGGGTCTGAGAGCGTAGCATGATAGTAGAGTGCTTGCCTACTGTGAAGGTCAATTCTAGGCCCTGGGCTTCCAGGATCAATTCTCAGCAGATGGGGGATTAGCTATGGAAACAATTACTGAAAGGAAGAAAGGTTTATTTTGGCTCACAGAGGCATCAGTATATCACAGCAGAAAAGGCAGAGTTCATGATGACAGGAGCTGTATGAAATCAAAGCTGTATGAAATCCAGAGAGAGCTGGAATCAGGGACTGGCTATAACACTCAAAGCCTGCCCCACAGACCTGCTTCCACCAACAGGCTCCATGTCTCAAAGACTTTACAACTTCCCATAACAGTACCACCAGCTGAGGAACAAGCACTGAAGATGTGAACTTGTAGGTGTAGCACAAATTCTAATTAGTCTTATTAATTAAAAACCTGGAGCCAGATATCAGGATGAAAGCTGAAAGATCAGCAAAGCAGAGCAGCCAGCCACCAGTTCTTACCTCTACAAAATCCTCAGCCTAAAAGGACTGAGCTCCTTTCTCCTCCTGCCTTATATTCCTTTTCTCTGCCCAGCTGTATCACTTCCTGTCTCAACCTCCCTAGTGCTGGGATTAAAGGCATGTGTGCCTCCCAAGTACTGGGAATAAGGCTTGAGATCCCAAGTGCTGGGATCAAAGCTCTGAGCCATCACTGCCTGGCCTCTATGGTTATCTAGTGGCTAGCTCTGCACGCTGGTCTCCAGGCAAGCTTTATTTGTGAGAGCACAAACAAAATATCATCACATGTAGAGGTCATTTCAGATTCAAATATTCCCACTATAACTAAAACTCTATGGGGGATAGGATGTCTCAGCTGGTTAAGTGTTTGCCACACAAGTATCTGACAGGAACTGACTCCCAAAAGTTGTCCTCTGACCTCCACACATGCAGAGTGGCACACACATGCCCGTGTATACAAACATACAAACTTAAAAAATTAAAAACAAAAAGTTATTTTGCTTTTAGTCTACTTGACTCCTATTCTGTTTTGTTTTTCTCATCTATGGCCCAAGCCAGATGACCAAAATAACCTCCTTATTTATTTTTGGTTTTGTTGAGGCAGGGTCTTTATGTAGCTCTGGCTGTCCTGGAACTCTTTATGTAGGTTAGCTGGCCTCAAACTCACAGAGATCTGCCTGCCTCTGTCTCGGGTGCTGGGATTAAAGGCGTGCACCACCACTGCCATATGAACCTCCCTGTTTTAAAGCTGTTCATCTTCTTTACACCTGTCATGTAACAGTTTATTCGCAAATGTAACACCAAGTAGCTAAGTCTTAGAGAGCAATGACAAAATCGTGCCTATCAGTATCTAACATATGCCTGGCATTAGTGATGTTTGGGAAAGTTCAGTGGATAAAAATGTGAGGCCTCACACTTTAGATTTCTGATTTAATTCCTGTCTCTCCTCATCTCCTGCATTTTTCCCCCTGACCAGGGAAGCCCAAGCATTTGTGGAGAAGTATGAAGGAGCCTTGGGGAAAGGGAAGGGTAAACACCTCTATGCCTACAGGATGCTGCTAGCTAAGGTACGTGTGATCCTCAGACTACAAACTGTGGGAGAGCCTGCTCCACACGGGGATGGGAGGGGGGACCACCACAAACACCTGCCAGCTTGACCGTTAGTGTCAAGTGCCTCTTGGAACTCCAAATGTGAGGTCTGCTAGACCATTCTGAGTCCTCCAGGGGTGGAAACCAGCTGCCCCTTGCCAATTACTCCACACATATCTGTGGAGCTTCAATGTGGATGAGATGTGTTTCCTCTACAGTAAATAAACCCCCAGAATAAATGGTATTAAAGCACTGGTACTTACTTTGTTTTGCAGCACTCAAATCAAGGCATCTTCATTTGGTGAAAACACAGCCAAGCTGTGTGGTCATCAGGGTTATGTGAATGATAAACAGTGATGTCCCCGTGAGGGGTGGGCAGCTCTGGATAATTGAGCTCTGTCAGAACCTGCTTCAAGTGGCTAGTGTCTTATGTGGGTCTCATTGAAGTATCCTTTCCTCTTTGGAGTTGATTACCTCTGATTTAAAAGCTGTGATTCCTCATTCATTTCGTTCCCACTTGAAGCATGTTTCAGGGCTTTTGTTATGAATACTCATTTAACATCACTATAGCTCTAGCCTCCTTTTACCTTTGTTTTAAAAAATCTCTTCCACTTTGTGAGTGGACTGAGGGCCGGTGGGGATGGGAACATGAGTGATCGGGTTAGCGGGCAGAGAAGGAGAGGACTGACAGAGACTGCTGGGAAGGGGGGCATTTCGGGGTCAGGTAAAAACCTGGTGCAAGGGAATCTCACAGGAATCTACAAGGATGACCCCAGCTTAGACTCCTAGCAATAGCGGATAAGTAGCCTGAACTGACCACCTCCTGTGACCACATTGGTGCCTAGCCCAATTGTCATCAGAGAGGCTTCATCCAGCAACTAATGGAAACAGATGCAGAGACCCACAGCCAAACATTAGGCAGAGTTAGGGGAATCCTGCAGAACAGAGAGAGGAAGAATTGTAGGGGCCAGAGGGGTCAAGGACATCACAAGAAAACTCACAGAATCAGCTAACCTGGGCTCATAGGGGCTCACAGAGACTGAACCAACAACCACGGAGCCTACATAGGACTGACCTAGGCCCTCTGCATATATGTTATAGTTGTGTAGCTTGGTTCTCTTATGGGAATCCTAACAGTGGAAGCAGGGGCTGTCTCTTACTCTTTTACAGGCTTCTGGGACCCTACTCCTCATACTGGGTCACCTTGACCAGTCTTAATAACAGGGAGGTGCTTAGTCTTACTGCAACTTGATATGCCATGTTTTGTTGATACTCAAGGGAGACCTGCCCTTTCCTGAACAGAAACAGAGGAGGAGTATATTGGGGGAGGGGGAACAGAGGGAACTGGAGGGGGAGGAGCTGGGAGGAGAGGGGGAGGGGAAACTGCAGCCAGGATGTTAAATAAATAAATAAATAAATAAATAAATAAATAAATAAATAAATAAAATGAGTTTATATAAGAAAAATCTCTTCCCTTGCTTAGGATTCCACCACATTCATTCTTAAAATCACTTTGACAAATTTCAAAATGGGTCATTAAAATTTTGATTGAAATTGTAACTATTTTAACTGATACATAAAAGCACAAAAAGTATTAATGCTTTATGTATCAGATAATAATTAAATATTAACACTGTAGCATGAATGGGATAATATTTCATGTATGTATACACTGTATGTCATTTAAATTAAATAAATTAATTAACCAAATTAAAGAAATCCATCACCTCTAACATTTTCTTTATGATGAAAAGGTTCTAGTCTTTTCTTGTAGTCTTTTATGATAAACAGAACGCTGGTATGTGTAACCTCTCAGCTGTCAATCAGCACTCCAGACTTCTTGCTTCTGTCTAAGCCAGTACCCACTGACTAACCTTTCAGCATTTCTCTCTTCTTTCCAACCCTGCCCTCCCCAGCCTCGGGGAACCATCACCCTCAACACTCCTAAGTTCAATTCTTCAAGTTACACATGTGAGTGTGAAGTTATTTTAAATCCTTGGTGTGATTTGACATATGTATTCTTTACATCTAGAATACTATGTTTCTCAAGCTTTATTTTGTATCTTTCAGTAAAATTTGTCATATAGATTTTTCCATGTTTTAAGTTTATTTCTACATAGCTTATACCCTAGTTGCTTTTGTGAATGGTATAATTTTCCATTCCTATAACAGCTAGTTATTAAGGGATGTGGAAAAGTGTAGATTTGTGTATCAATTTTATATCTAGTTCTCGTGTGTGTGTGTGTGTGTGTGTGTGTGTGTGTGTGTGTGTGTGTGTGTGTTGCTGGAGATGGAGCCCAGAGCCTCAAACATGACTGGTAAGCAGTCTACACTAATCTTTGTATTCTCTTATTGATTCTATCTTCTTAATCAGTTTCATTTGATTATGTAGGTGTCTTAGGGTTACTATCTTTTCTTTTCTTTTGTTTTGTTTTTGTTTTTCTGAGACAGGGTTTCTCTGTGTAGCTTTGGTGCCTGTCCTGGATCTCACTCTGTAGACCAGGCTGGCCTCGAACTCACAGAGATCTGCCTGGCTCTGCCTCCAGAGTTCTGGGATCAAAGGTGTGCACCACCACCACCCGGCTTAGGGATAATATCTTATGGAGGCATTTTCTTGATTGAGGTTCCCGATTCTCACGTGACTTTAGCTTGTGCCAAGTTGACATAAAACTAACCAGCACAGCGGATCCCTTGTCAGCCTGACACAAACACAGTTAAGTCACATATTTTCTTTCTCATTCATCCAAAAAATTACAAAATAATAGCAACATCACATTAAAACATTTTACAAACTTTAAAAGTCAAACAATTCAAAATTTAAAATTCAGTCTCTTTAAAAATCTAAAGTCTCACATGGAAGCCTCCAGAGACATCAGGGCGGATGAAGAGGTGATGGAGAGTCAGGCGGGAAGAAGGGGAGGTTGTTCCTGTGAGGTTTCGTTCTTGTTGGGGGTTTTGCTGTTGTTGTTGCTCTTACCTTTGTTTGCTTTCTTTCGTGGGAGGGGGGATGCAATAAGGTTGGGGGGAAATATGGGGGGACGGGGGTGAACAGAACTGGGGTGCATGACGTGAAACCCCCAAAGATTCAATAAAGAAATTTAAAAAAAATCCAAAGTCTCTTTAAAAGTTCAAAATTTCTCAACTGTGAACTCCTTTAAAATCAAAAATAAGTTAAAAACTTTCTCACTTCAAGAGGGAAGAACCAGGGCACAGTCACAACCTAAACAAAGCCAAACCACCCTCCAACTGCGTAACTAACTCAGTGTCCAAGGTCTGGGATCCAATCATGAACTGAGCTCCTCCAAAGCATGGGTCACTCCTCTGGCTCCTCCGTCTACAGCCCACACAGATTGTCTCCAGCACTCAGTCCCGCTCTACTCCACGGCTGCTGCTGTTCTTGGTGCTCATCCCATGATACTGTCATCTCCAAAATGCGGGGGTCTCTTGCTGCAGCTGGGCTGCACTTTTACCAATAGCCTCTCCTGGGCTCTCTTCAGGGACTCCAGCCTGTCATACAGTGCCAAGCCTCAGCTGCTGTCCATGACCCCCTCATGCCTTCAAATCCAATACTACCCGGTGACTCTGACAGTACTGAGTTCAGCTGCCAGCACGAAGTACAACCTTGGCTGTCTCGGGAACACAGCTTCTGTGTGTTAACTCTGAGGAAACACCTCCCAGATTTCACCTCAGTGATGCTGGTCTCTTCTTAATTACCACCCATCTCTCAGACACAGCTAACCGAGATCAACTGTCTGAGTAAAGCAAAGCTTTTAATTCAGTGGTGCTAGTCTTCTGTTAATCATGGCTGATTCTTCGGTCCTAGCTGACCAGACCCACAAACTCTTAATTCAAAATATGCAATGGCCTCAAACAGTCTTTAAGTGACTCTCAAACTTGCCCCTTGGAACTTCACAAGGCAGGCCTCTCTCAACACACTTACCTTCCACAGAATAGCTCACCAAGCTTCGAACACTCAGTGGCTTTTCTAGCACAAAGTTCCAAAGTTCTTCCATAGTCTTCTCCAAATAACATGGCTAGGTCTGTCATAACAACATTCCATGATCCTAGTACCAATTTCTGTCTTAGTTAGGGTTAATATTGCTGTAATAAAATACCACCACCTGGCTCAGATATTTTAATATGGGCACTTATTGCTACAAATTTTCCTCTTAGCACTACCTTGGCTATGTCCCAGACGTTCTGATAGGATATGTTTCCATTGTCATTTGTCTCCAGATTTTTTAAATTTCCTCTCTGATTTCTTGGATGACCCACTATTCATTAAAAAATATGTCCTTTAGTCTCCAAGAAGTCTTTGTCTAGATTTCTAGTTTTATTCCACTGTGGTCTGATAGGACACGAAGAATTATCTCATTCTTTGTATTTGTTTAGATTTGATTTGTATCCTACAATATTATCAGTTTTGGAGAAGGTTCCATCTGCTGCTGAGAAAAAACATGTGTATCCCCCATCCATTAAGTAGAATGTCCTGTATATGTCTGTTAAGTCCAGTTCATTCAAAGTGTATTTAGCTCTGAAGTTTCTTGGTTTTCATTTGAAAGCTCTAACTACATATCAGAGTGGAGTATTTAAGTCCTCCACTATGATTACATCAGGGCCTAGGTGGTCTTTTATGTCTTTTAATGTTTGTTTTATGAAATTCAGGCCTCCAGTATTTGGTACATAAAAGTTTACAACTGTTAGATCTTCTGTAGGAATTGTTCCTTTTATTAATGTATAGTGTCATTTTTAATCCCTCCTAATTAGTTTTAGTTTGGGTTTGAAGTTTACTTTGTCTGATGTAAGGGTGGCTGAGCCTGTGCCTGCTTTTTTTTGTGGTTTTTCAAGACAGAGTTTCTTTGTGTGTAGTTCTGGCTGTCCTGGAACTCCCTTTGTAGACCAGGCTTGCCTGGAACTCATAGAGATCCACCTGCCTCTGCCTCCCGAGTGCTGAGATTAAAGGTGTGCACCCCCACCGCCCAGGGAGCCTGCTTCTTCATGCTTTTCATTTGCCTGCTAGTTTATGTTGCATCCTTTGGTAGTTTTGATATCTCTGCCAGCTAAGTGTGTTTCTTCAAGACAACATACATTTTAATGACAACATTTTAATCCAGCTATTGGTCTTTATCTTTTTAGTGGTGAGAGGAGGCCATGTGCATTTAAGGTTATTATAGAAGGGGGTTTGCTATTTCCTATTTCCTATAAATCTTTTAGGTGATGTTCTGGTTCACTGAGTTATCTATCTACAGACAGAAATGTGTGCGTGTGCACATGTGCATGTGTGGGTGCGTGTGTGTGTGTGTGTGTGTGTGTGTGTGTGTGTGTGTGTGTGTGTAACATATTCCTGAGATAACTCAAAAAGAGGGAAGGATATTTAGGCTCACACTCAGTTTCCTAACCCATGAGTAACCTTGTTGCTTTGGGCCTACGGATCACATAGCAAAGCAATACTGCACACCACATGTCCAGGATACAAAGAGAGAGAGAAAAGGCCAGATTTGGTGATGCTGTCTGTAATCCCAGCACATAGGAGACTGAAGCAGGAGGACCTTGAGTTCCAGGCAGCCTGGGATCCATAGCAAGACGCTGTCTCAGAAAGGGGAGTAAGGAAGAGAGAGAAGGTGGAAAAAAAGCTGGAGGGGCCCGGGCGGTGGTGGCGCACGCCTATAATCCCAGCACTCGGGAGGCAGAGGCAGGCAGATCTCTGTGAGTTCGAGGCCAGCCTGGACTACCAAGTGAGTTCCAGGAAAGGCGCAAAGCTACACAGAGAAACCCTGTCTCGAAAAACCAAAAAAAAAAGAAAAAGCTGGAGGGGAGAAGACGACTAGGTTCTCGCTGTCCACTTTGGGCAGACACCCAGTGACCTAGAGACCTCCCATTAGGCTCCATGACCTAAAATTTCTACCATCCCTCTGGAGTGCTTCTCTAGGAACAAACCTTGAGCACATGCACCTTTGGGGGACACTCTAGCTCCAAACTGTAGCACTCTAAGGGAAGGAGGAATTCTTGCCTAACTCCTTTCAGCCCAGCAAGGTCAGTGATTCCACCAGGAAAAGAATGGCAGACCTGGACTGAGATCTCTCAATGCAGTTTAGCAACACTCCGAATGAACCCAGGCTCTTGGCTCCCTGCCAAATGTGAGTCATGAGATTTCTTTTTCCTCGATTTTTGTTTTAACATGAAGAAAGCTGTATCTGAGGACCCAGAAAATGTACGCAGAATTTTAAAATTTATATCGGAATGTCCAAATGTGAGTTGTCTTCCGCACTACAGACATGCTCTGTGCTGTAACCCTGGCTTGTGCCAATGTTTCCTGTCCCCGTATACCCCCACTGCTTCTGTCCTGCTTCTCTCAACACCCTCCCCTACTGTTGCCAGGCTTCCTGCCCTCAGTATCCATGCCCCATTCCCTTCTCTGCCCCTCACCTCACCATTTCAACACACACACACACATACACACACACACACACACACACACACACACACACACACACACACACACACTGCCCTGCCTCCTTCGGCATCCCCCATGACCCAACTGTGCCCCTTGGTGCTTAAGGTCAACATGTTGGTGACTGAGGGTTTCATCTGTTTCATTTCAGAAATGGATCAAGTTTAAGAGGGACTTTCATAATTTCAAGACTCAATGTATTCCCTGGGAAATGAAGATCAAGGACATTGAAAGTCAGTGTTCTCAATATCATTGGTTTTCATTGGTTTCCTCAAAGAAGTCTCCCAAGGCTTAGATGCTGAGTATACTTGGCCTTCTGGTTAGATTAGTTCCTAGTTTCTGTTGCATCAAGGGGTAAGTGGGCATTGGATGAGTATAGGGACCAGATTCTAATCCAGATTTCTCACTTCCTGATGTGAGAGCTCAGGAGACTCAGTTACCCCACAGAGCTTCAGGTTACTTATCTGGAATAAAAAAAGGAGCCCTGGAGGTTTATTTGACAGACTGGTGTGAAAACCACTCTTACGGGCATGCCGGTTTCTTCACTGACACATGTCACTATGCCATCTCTCTCCCCCAGGTCACTTTGGTTCCTCAGTGGCATCATACTTCATCTTTCTTCGATGGATGTATGGAGTTAACCTCGTCCTTTTTGGCTTAATATTTGGTCTAGTCATCATCCCAGAGGTAAGACTAGACTTTCCTATGCCTTCAGATAGTGTTGAGGCTTCACTATAGCCGCCATCTTCAGTTATACTTTCCAAATACTCTTTTTCACTTTAACTATACTCTGTCATTCTTTGAGAAAATTTTTTTTCTTTTGAGATAAGGTATCATTATAAAGCCCAGACTGCCCTCAAACTCACAATCCCCTGCCTTATTCTTCCCAATACCTGAATTATAAGCATACACCCCAATGCACAGCTCCGTTTGAATTAAGTTTTCATGTCAATTGCCCTGGTTGTTCAGTAGAGAACAGGGAACCAACATACTTAGGGTTCTGAGTTAAGAAACCGATAACACATTTCTGCCTTTCGTCTGTACTTAAAAGGAGTAAAAAGTTAAGATCTCAGGTTTTTTTCTTCTTTTACCCTGAGGGGAAAGAAAGAGAGAAAGAGGCGAAACTGAACAAAAGGAAGTGAATTATAAGGAAAAGCGAAGTAGTTGGGAGATGAGCTCTCTGTTGACGTGGGGAACAGGGCATGCATGTATAAGTGTGTGTGCCCGTGCACATGTACAGGGGCCAGAGGAAGATATAAGATTTCCTGATCTATAACACTTTGCAATGTATTCGCTTAAGACAGCATATCAGCTGGACACAGTGGCACATGCCTTTAATCTTAGTGCTTAGGAAGGCAGAGGCAGGTGGATCTCTATGAGTTTGAAACCAGACTAGTCTACAAAACAAGCTCCAGACCAGTCAGGGCCACATAGTGAGAATCTGACTAACAAGCAGGTAGACAAACACAGACAGGTACTCTCACTGAACCTGAAGTTATGTTGGTAGCTAGCAACCTAGCGATTCTCCAATCTGCTCCCCACTCTTCCCCCCCTCCACACACACACTTAGCACTGACGTCATAGCACCTGCAACTATACTCAACTTTTTCACGGTGCTGGAGACTCTAACTCTGGTCCCCATGCTTGTGCAGCAAGTGCTCTTACCTACAGAGGCATCTCCCTAGCCCCAGTTTTGTGGAGTTTTTAAAAGCTAGATGATAGATTAAAAAGTAGTTAAGTTTCATTGTTATGACTGACTATACCTATGTATTATGTATGCTACTTTATGTGTAATGTATTTCCCAATAACAGTATAAATTAAAACCTAATAAGTAGAAACAGAAGAGCTTGGGTGACACATCCTGTAACACCAGCACTGGGGAGGTAAAGGCAGGAGGATCATTGCAAGTTCTAGGCCAGCCAGGACTACAAATCCAGACCCAGAGAGGGCTGGTGGGGGGTCAGGTGAGAGAGGGACAGGTCTGAAATTGTGAAACTGTAAATTAACAAGCAAAAGTGTGAAGTGAAATATCAAAACTGGTGCTACAAAAGCTAAGAGCAGCACCGTATGTCTCTATCTTTAGGATCCGTCAACACTTTTTGAAATTTTTACTTTAGCCAATAGATCAAAAAATTGAATATTTTATATATTTTATACTAGAACTTGTACAACTTGTCTATAAGTAATATCACCGCAGAAGCCCCCAAATCCATGTATTCGACCAAAAAGTGCTCAACTTTAAGTAAAAGACTCTGTGGAGCTAGTTACAGCCATTAATTAGACAAACATTGCTAACAAATCTCTACACTCTAACTATCTGATTTATAATGTTGACACAAGAACAATAAATCTATAACATAGCTAATAAAAATTAGCAGACTAAAAGATTTCCAAGAGGGGCCCTGTCAAGTGTAATGAACAAAATAAGATGAGGAATGGAAAGACTGTGTGGAAGGAGATATAGCCGGAGAGTTCCTCTCCAGCTCACGCCTAGCCCCTCCAGTCCCGGAGCCCACTTATGAAATAAACACACAGACTTTATATTATTTAAACTGTTTGGCCTAAAGGCTCAGGTTTTTAGCTATCTAGTTCTTACATCTTAAATTAACCCATTTCTATTAATCTATACTTTGTCACGTGGCTTGTGGCTTACTGGTACCTTACATCTTTCTTGTCCTGGCAGCAGCTGGCAGTGTCTCCCCCTCTCTGCCTTCCTGTTCTCTCCATTTTTCTCTCTCCTTGTCCCACCTATACTTCTTGCTTGACTACTGGCCAATCAGTGTTTTATTTCTACAGAGCGATATCCACAGCAAGGAGAAATTAATCCTAGTTTTTCAAAAGCCAGCCTAGGGGCTGGAGGGACGGCTCAACTGTTAAGAGCATCTACTGCTCCTCCAGAGGATTGAAGTTGGGTCACATCAGGTGGCTCCTAACCACCTGTAACTCCAGCTCCAGAGAATCTGACATCCTCTTCTGGCCACCTCAGGTGCCCCCATATACTCACACAGATACACACATAAATAAAAATTAAAATCAATATCATTTTGAAAAGCCAATCCATCCTAAAATTAATCTGTAAATTTGAGCCAATTCTTACCTTTTTCAGAAGGGTGTGAGTGAGGGTCATCTGATAGCAGGACATGGGATTTGTCAAACACATTTATGGTTACGCTTCACACTTTCTCGGCTCACCCTCTATCATCTGTCCCCATGTGAGGTGCTGATGGGCATGCCCTATGGAAGTATTCCCAGAAAGACAGTGCCTCGAGCAGAGGAAGAAAAAGCCATGGACTTCTCCGTCCTTTGGGATTTTGAGGTACGAACCATGGTGTCAACGCACTTCCATTTTGTGATTGTAGAGCTGGTGTCCTTCACTCTCAAAGTCAAATTTCAGTCCCCTCAGAAATGGAGGGATAACAGTAATTTTCTGAGGTACCCAGCCACACTGCTGCCACGGCTTTTCTTAGTCCTTCATTTCCTCCAGTGATCCCTAGGGAAGCATCTTATAAGTAAGCAGACAATGTGAATGTTGCATTTAGTTGTTGAAAAGCAATGCTTTCTTCAAATAGGACCCTTGTCTTAAACAGAACGTTTTCCCACCCCTTACATCTGCGCTGTGCTCAGCCAACCATGGCTGCCCTTGGAATGCCCTGTCTTATCTCAGCCTAGATGGTATCATCTCCCATCTCCTCTGCTACCAGAGTGAAGTTCATAAAATGTAGATTGGAGCATGTCTGTAACACGAATTTTAAAAGGTCTTATTAATAAAAACACTCCTGGAACCAGGTATTAGGGTGAATGCTGAAAGATCAGAGAAGCAGAACAAGCCTCAGCTAACCTCACCTCTCCAACTTCTCAGCCAATCCTGTTTCCTCAAACTGGAGGTCTCTGTGTCCTCATCCAAATGGATCTCAACTGAACTACTGCTAGAAGCCTAAAAGCTTCTTAACAAAGGCTCTAGTTCCTGGTCCTCACACCTTATATACCTTTCTGCTTCCTGCCATCACTTCCTGGGATTAAAGGCATATGTCACCATGCCTGGCTGTTTCCAGTGTGGCTTTGAACTCACAGAGATCTGGATAGATCTCTGCCTCCAGAATACTAGGATTAAAGATGTGTGTGCCACCATTTTCTGGCCTCTATGTCTATCCAGCGGCAGTTCTGTTCTTTGACCTCAGATAAGTTTATTAAGGTGCACAATATATTGGGGGACACGATATATCACCACGTATGTCCCTCTCCTACTTCAGCTGTCTCTTGCTTCCCATTCCCAGTGGAATTAAAGCCAGTGTTCTTCATCGAGTTTACAAGAGAACAGTGTGCCGCTGACTGCCTAAGGCCTCCCAAGTTGAGTGCCCCATATTCTGAAGTCAGGGATGTCCCTGAGCACACACAGCACACTACGGTGCCTCATACCCTGCTGATGGGCCTCTCCCTGGAATCATCCCCCTTTATCCGTCCTCACCCTCCATGCCTCTCATCTGCAGCTTCAAAGGGTCCCGAGGTCACGTAGCCTGGCAACGGTGCTGCCTACAACAAGCTGTGGGGCTGGCATCCTCCGTCCTCAGAGTCAGACTTGAGTCTCCTCAGAAATGAGGAACCCGTGTGGCAAGGTACCCAGCCACAGTGCCACCAGGGCTTTTCTTTACTTTTTTCTTACCCAGAAATCCTTGTTGAAATCTCTTACCTACCAAAAACAAACGGAATTTATTCAACAACAATCCCTGATGTTTTCAGCAAAGAAATATAAAAAGTACTAAAATCTAAATGAATACTATACCTAACTAATTTGTTTTAAAAGTTTACTCATTACTAAAGCCAAGTACATGTGAGAGTCAAAAAGAAAACAGGGACAGACAGGATGGCTTGATTTGAGGGATTGTGCCCAAATCCTGTTAAACCTGCTCTTTCCTCAAGGGAAATGGAGGAGCAGTGGATCTGGGGGAGAGGGCAGGTGGGAAGGGACTGGGAGGAGTGGAGGGAGGGAGAGGAGGCTGCTGGCAGGATGTATTGTATTAGAGAAGAATAAATTGGAAAAAAAAAAAAAAAAAAAAAAAAGCCGGTCCATCATGGCGCATGCTTTTAATCCCAGCACTCAGAAGCAGGTGGATCTCTGTGAGCTTGAGGCTAGCCTGGTCTACAAAGAGAGTTACAGAGCAGCCAGAACTGTTACCCTGTCTCAAGCAAAACAAAAACAAAACAAGAACCTAGCTATATAACACAATAGCTTGGAGCTATGCATTCTTGAGTGCATGTGCTGGGTACATATGCTCAACACATACACACACTCTGCTCCCTGAGTCTCCATGCACTTTGTTCAGTGGAAGAATAAAGAATATACAACAATAGGATAAATGGGTAGATCACTGAATCTACACTAAAAAGAAAAAGAGGAAGATATAAAAATGACAAAAGGTAGATTACTGAATCTATTATGAAAAGAAAAAATACTTTTAAAAAGGAATTACGCCTTATATACCTTTCTGCTTTCTACCACCACTCCCTGGGATTCATGCTACAATAGACAATGTGGTGATATTGTGTTCCCCAAAATATTGTGCACCCTAATAGACTTACCTGGGGTCAGAGACAGAACAGTCACAGAAAATGGTGGCACTCACACCTTTAATCCTAGCACTCCAGAGGTAGAAATCCCTCTGGATCTCTGTGAGTTCAAGGCCACATTGGAAACGGCCAGGCATGGTAACTCACGCCTTTAATCCCAGAAAGCAGCCTTTAATCCCAGGGAGTGGTGGTAGAAAGCAGAAAGGTATATAAGGCGTGAGGACCAGAAACTAGAAGCATTTGCCTGGTTAAGCTTTTAGGTTTTGAGCAGCACAGTTCAGCTGAGAGCCATTCGGATATGAGGACACAGAGGCTTCCAGTCTGAGGAAACAAGACCAGCTGAGAAGTTGGCCAGGTGAGGTTAGCTGTGGCTTGTTCTGTCTCTCTGACCATCCAGCATTTCACCCCAATACCTGGCCCGGGTTTGATTTAATTAATAAGACCATTTAAGATTCATGCTACAATAGACAATACTGTGGATGGCCTCTGGAGACGCTATGAATTGCATACTTAGGACTCTTCCTCTCTGTAGACTTGCTTTAAAACTCTGAGACAGAAATCCCTGACAGAATGGAAGTATACAATTACTTTCTCCTCTGAGATTACAAACCCAGAGACTTTGGATGTCTTTCACAGGGCTATATCAAATATTCTGCTCTCTTCTATGGCTACTACAACAACCAGAGGACCATCGGATGGCTGAGGTACAGGCTGCCCATGGCTTACTTTATGGTGGGGGTCAGCGTGTTTGGCTACAGCTTGATGATTGTCATCAGGTCGTAAGTATAAGTGTCTTGTTTGTAGGTTTTGATCTTTCTTCATTCAAACCGCTCTCCTCTGATTCTTCTGTGTGTATTTACTTTCTTGTGGATGAGAGGAAACAAACAGGCAGCTATACAAGTCTAGGGGTTCCTTGTGATACTGCTGGACAAACTAACTGACGGAGGTGACTGAAGGGACAGAGGGCTTATTTGGGCCCACAGTTCTGGGGTACAGTCCATCATGGCAGGAGTTCCAGTGGCAGGAGCATGAGGCACCTGGTCACATTGCCTCCACAATTGGAAGCAGAGTGATGATTGCCAGTCACTTGAGCTGTCACTTGTCCTTTTTTACTGTCCAGGAGCCTAGCCTGTGGAAGAGCGTCACCAGCAGTTGGCTCTTCCCAACTCTATTACCCTAACCTAGATAGCCTCTCACCAACATGTCCACAGGCTTGTCTCCTAGGCGATTCTAGATCTTGTCAACTATCAGTATGATCACACCAAGCAAATGCAGATTATGAAATATGAGTGATAAGCTAGATGATATGTGAAGCTCTGGGAAACGAGCTTTATGAAATGAAACTCCTTTAAACAAGGCAGAGAACAGCCGGCCGTGCTGAAAGTTTGAGATGTAAGTGGAAAAGGCACATATGCAAAGACCCAGAGGCAGCAGACAATTCTAGAATTCCTGTCTAGATAGCCCATCCAGTTACCCAAACTAGCAAAAGGTCACTGGAGCTTGAGAGGAAGGGTAGAACCTGATAAGGTGGCTGGAAGTTTGCAGCCTCCTCAGAAGAAAAAAAATAAATAAAAATACCAATCCTGTCATTTATAAAGATAAAATCAATAGGCCTATACTAAAAGAATTTGTGTGGCTGTGTTTAGTCATGGCTCCTTTCTGGCCCTATGTCTACCTACCTCTGTCAAGATTGACCTTTATACATTGTGCCTCTTTTTTTTTTTTTTTTTTTTTTTGCATATACGTAAGTGTATTCCCCAATCACTCTCCATCTTATTTTTTGAGATAGGAGTTCTCACTGAACCTGAAGTTTACCCATTCAGCCAGGCTGTCTGGCCAGTGAGCTGGGGATCCACCTGTCTCCACCTCCCCAACCCTGGATTTGCAGACACATGCCATACACCTGATTCTTAATTTGGGTGCTAGGGACCCCAAACTTGGGTCCTCTTGCCTATACCAAGCACTTTAACAATAAATCCATCTCCCCTAGCTTTATCTGTTCCTCTTAATTCATATTCTATGAAGAAAAATTAGTCCAGTCCATGAATGTGGCATGTTTCTGTGATGAACCAAAATACCTAGATCCTGCAGAACAGCAAGTCTAGAAGAGTCAACAGGCAACACAGAGCCAGGGAGGGCACAAACCCCCCCACTTCCTGATGGAATCCATGATTCGAATTCTGTGACTCCCACAGGACTGAGCACCAGGGAGAGGCACAAACCCCCACACTTCCTGATGGAACCCTTGACTCAAATTCTGTGACTCCTACAGGACTGAGCACCAGGGAGTACAGAGAGGCTGGGTCAGGTGGGATGAAACAGGGAGCCAACAAGGAAGGTCTGGACGCTTTCATCCAAGCTTGCTGAAGGATATATTAGCCAGACCATCCAACCAGCATCCTCAAGAGTTACTGGGCCTTGAGCCAGGCGGTGGTGGCGCACACCTGTAATCCCAGCACTTGGGAGGCAGAGGCAGGTGGATCTCTGTGAGTTCAAGGCCAGCCTGGTCTACAGAACTAGTCCAGGACAGGCTCCAAAGCTACAGAGAAACCCTGTCTCGAAAAACCAAAAAAAAAAAAAAAAAAAAAAAGGCATTACTGGGCCTTTAAAAATACTTATTATTTATTTTATGTGTATAAACACTTTTGCCTGCATGTCTGTATGTGTACCACATGTGCCTGGTGCCCAGGGAGGTCAGAAGAGGCTATCTAATCCGCTGGACCTGTAGTTGCAGACAGTTGTGAGCTGCCATGTTGGTGCTGGGAATAGAACCTGGGTCCTCTGCAAGAGCAACAAGTGCTCTTACCAGCTGAGACATCCCAGCCCAAGTTACTGAGTTTTATATGAGAAAAATGCATACCTCTAGCCAAAAAAATTAGATGACTTAGAAAGACACATTTCTGTTTGAGAATAGAGTACCCAAGTTCTCAGACTGTGCACACAACTGAGTCAAACCTCAAGAAGCCAAATGCAAGGACAGAAAACAGTGAGGTGTCCTATATCTTGCAGACTCATTACCTAACACACACCAGGGGTGCTTGCAGGGAACTCTGAATTTGGGGAGAGCAGTTCTCTGGCTAGAATCAAAATCGTCCTAGCTAATGTCCCTCCTGAACTTGTCGCTTCATGGAATATTATCTTCTCCCTGTGCCAAGACTGACTTGGGCCAAGGGTCCCAGTGGCTGATGTAGCAGAAAAGAGACAGGTGTGACAACGGTGGCATATGTCCTCCAGGATGGCCAGCAATACCCAAGGGAGTACCAGTGAGGGGGAGAGTGACAACTTCACGTTCAGCTTCAAGATGTTCACCAGCTGGGACTACCTCATCGGGAACTCTGAGACAGCCGACAACAAATACGTCTCCATCACCACCAGCTTCAAGGTAGTGACCCCAGGGCTTTTCCTCCTTCCCGAGGAAATTCTGGGTCCCCCTGGCCACTGGGAAGCTTTCCTTAGCTGGGTGAATGGAAATGAGATCTCTAAATAATCCATGAGAGGAGTTGTATCAGTACACACACCTTCTAAATTTCCCTTCAGAAAAGGGCAGGCCTCCCAGGGATATCAACCAAACATGGTATATCCAGTCATAGTCTAACTAGAACCTTACTTCTGAAGTCTGGTCATGCCTCTTCCCTCATGAAACTGCTTACTGGTGGAGTTCATGGAAGGATTCATTTGGGACAACTCATGCCAACCTTCTACCCATGCTAGAATTGCCTAAGGAACTTTAAAACTGTCCTTCCCAGGGCCTTTGGGATTCTGGTGTGATTGGCTAACATTGTCATTGCTGTTGTTATTTAAGTTGGTTGTTTTGTTTTTCAAAGCTCCCCAAGTAATAGAACTCCCATTTAAGGATGTGGAAATCAGATAATTAACCTTGTGCTTCTTACAGTCCATGTCTCTTACAATCCTCATTATTTTATTCACAAGAAACTTGAAGTGGGCAGATGAAATATAGTTCAACCTAACCAGCATGGTGGTATACACTTGTAATCCTGGCACTTGGGAATGAACATGGGAGGCATGAGTTTGAGACCAGACTGGGTTATATAACAAGACTGTATCTCAATCAAGTAAACATGAACCAGAGAGCAAATAAATGAATAGAGGCAGATACTATAGCATGGGAACATTGTGTGTTATATTGTTCCTCTGTGGCTGTAAAAACAACTACAAGCTTTTGAGACAGGGGTCTCATTATATAGCCCAGGATGGCCTTGAATTTGTAATCCTCCTGCCTCAGCTTCCTGAGTGCTGAGATTGGAGGATTACTCCACTATACCTGGCTTCCACTCCCAGCTCTTGATAGTTCAGTATTTCTCCTGCCTGGTTTGGCAGGCTGTCTTTTCCCAGGACTCAGCGCTTACTTCCACATCAGTTGTATTTAGCTTTCCACCCAACCCACCACCACCCCCCCTTTTTTTTTTTTTTTTTTTTTTTTTTTTTTTTTTTTTTTTTGGTTTTTTGAGACAGGGTTTCTCTGTGTAGTTTTGGTGCCTGTCCTGGATCTCACTCTGTAGACCATGCTGGCCACGAACTCACAGAGATCCTCCTGCCTCTGCCTCCCAAGCGCTGGGATTAAAGGCATGGGCCGCCGCTGCCACCACCACCACCACCACCACCACCACCACCACCTGGCATTATCTCCCTTTCCATTTTCCCTCTCTAACCCAGCCCTCCCTGGGGAATGGTCTTCTGCTCGCTGCCAGCAAAGGATTTGAGCTTACTACCCACTAAATGGGTTTATTGGACCTGAGTCCTGTTCACCTGGCAGTGGGTGGATGGGGACTCAGTTCTGTCCTCTCCTCTCAGCAAGTGGGCTGTGGCCATCTGCAGCCACAGCCAGGGAAGGCTAGAACAGCTGTGACACTTCCTCTGAACCAGACCAAGGGTCATGCCTTGCCTATGAAGCACATAAAAACATCAGGAAGCCGGGCGGTGGTGGCGCACGCCTTTAATCCCAGCACTCGGGAGGCAGAGCCAGGCGGATCTCTGTGAGTTCGAGGCCAGCCTGGTCTCCAAAGCGAGTACCAGGAAAGGCGCAAAGCTACACAGAGAAACCCTGTCTCGAAAAACCAAAAAAAAAAAAAAAAAAAAACAAAAAACATCAGGAAGAAGGCAGTGTCTACTGATAGCAGAGGCAATACACAAACATAACCATGGGGGGCCTCTGCGACCACCAAGGCCGGCTGAGTAACAATGTACCTGAAGCTAGAACGATGACTCAGCAGCCAGAGTTGATTCAAACTTCAAGAGTCTGACCCCAGTAGTTTATTCTAGGTATATTTAAGTGAAAACAGTTTGGAGAAATTTTTCCTGGTGATAAATAACTCAATCCCATGTGCAAAATAAAGCTTAAAACAAAACTGTATTGAAACTCTTTGTAAAGTACATGTGACATCTTCTGAGATGGGTTCTATAGATTGATTACATGTGGCATCTTAAGGGTCTAGGGGAGGAGCTGGTGTGTCTTGGTCATACACATAGCACGAAGGTCACCAGGCTATTAACCACCTCCATTCCCAGCCTTCTGGGCAGAAAACAGGTTATACACATCTTCCCCTTGAAGAGACAACCCTGTGTATTTAATATTCCTGGTCCTCACAGTGCTAGTCCTACTGTGAGCACAAGGACTTTTTTTTTAAGACAGGGTTTCTCTGTGTAGCTTTGGAGCCTTTCCTGGAACTCACTCTGTAGCCCAGGCTGGCCTTGAACTCATGGAGATCTGCCTGCCTCTGCCTACCAAGTGCTGGGATTAAAGCATGCACCACCGCCACCTGGCGCACAAACACCTCTGTACCTCCTACACATAACAGGGTAGACGTAAGGATTCTGTGAGCTAACATAACATAACTGCCTGATGAGTTAGCTAAACCTCAGAGTGAACACAGTAACTGGGGATTGGCAGAGAGGTCTCTTCCCAAGCACTCAGTCCAGGAGACTGTGTTTTCTGTCCTTACTGCACATGTCTTCATAGTTACTGATGCAGGACACAAGCATAACAAACAAAAATCAATTGTATTTTATACTAACAGAAAACAAACTGATTTTTAAATTCTATTTACAGTAATACACAAAACATAAATGCCTATTAATAAATTAAAGTCCCCCTACCAAAAACTATATGAGACACCAAAACAAACAAACAAACAAACAAAACCAGCACTCAATATTAAGAAACCCTAAGAATAGAAATTGGCAAAATATAGCTTGGGGACCAAATCTAGACTGCTGCATACTTTTATAAATAAACCTTTATTGAAACAAAACCATGCACATTTACTTACATATTGTCTATAGTTATTTTCATGCAATATTGGCATGATAAGTAGTGAGAGAGAGACACAGATTTCAGGCTAACAATATCTACTATGTAAATTTTATAGGATATTTGACAACTCCTGTATTTGAAAGCTCAAGATTAAAATTTTAATCTGAAGGGCTGGAGAGATAGCTCAGCAGATATGAGCAGAGGTTGTTCTTGAAGAGGACCAAGATTTCATTCCCTGAACCCACACAGAGCTCACAACTGTCTATGACTCTAGTTCCTAGGGATCTGAACCCTCTTCTGGCCTCCACAGGCACCAGGCACACATGTGGTACACAGACATACATGCAGGCAAAAAGCATCCATACACATAAAAAATAATAAAATAACAAAAAACTTAAATGAATTAATTTTAATTTTAATTTATTTGGTCTATTGATTTTAAACAACCCTACATAGCTCATTGACAACCACTGTGGGCCTTTATACATGTAGTATGAGCAACATTATTAGCCGTTCTATTGGTTCACTGTTAGATTAAGAAATAAGCGGGGCAGTGGTGGCGCACGCCTTTAATCCCAGTACTTAGGAGGCATAGGCAGGTGGATCTCTGTGAGTTCGAGGCCAGCCTGGTCTACAAAGAGAGTTCCAGGACAGGACTGTCAGGGATACACAGAAAAACTCTGTCTCAAAAAACAAAAAACAGTTCGAGGCCAGCCTGGGCTACCAAGTGAGTTCCAGGAAAGGCGCAAAGCTACACAGAGAAACCCTGTCTTGAAAAACCAAAAAAAAAAAAAAATTAAAAAAAAAAAAAAAACAAAAAAAAAAAAACAAAAAAAAAGAAAGAAAGAAAGAAAGAAAGAAAGAAAGAAAGAAAGAAAGAAAGAAAGAAAGAACGAAAAGAAAGAAATATAGGGAAGTATTCCTGGCCTGACATTATTCGAATCTCATTTTCATGTGCTAAGGAATCTATTGTGGATGAACAAGAGAGTAACAAAGAGGAAAATATCCACCTGACAAGATTTCTCCGTGTCCTGGCCAACTTTCTCATTCTCTGCTGTCTGTGTGGAAGTGGGTACCTCATTTACTTTGTGGTGAAGCGGTCGCAGGAATTCTCCAAAATGCAGAATGTCAGCTGGTATGAAAGGAATGAGGTAAGACAGGCATCTCCAACGACGCCAAGATTGGGGGGAAGTGTTGAGTCACCCAGCCTAAGTTAACGACTCAGCAAAGTCCCTGAAAGTCTGAACCGCAGGCCTTGCTTTAAAAGGCAAAATTAAGCCAGGCGTTGTGGCACATTCCTTTAATCCCAGTACTCAGGAAGCAGAGATGTGGGAATCTCTGAAAGTTTGAGGCCAGCCTGGTCTACATAGTGAATTCCAGGGCAGCCAGGCTATGTAGTAAGACCCTGTCTCAAAACAAGTAACTATTACAGGGTGGAGAATTGACTCAGTCATTAACAGCAGTCTTGAAGAAGACCCATGTTTCAGTCCCAGCACCCACAGGGTGGCTCACAACCATCTGTACCTCCAGTTGTGTAGACCCAACACCCTCTTCTGGCCTCTGCAGGCACAAGGCATGCATGGATACACATACATACATACATACATACATACATACATACATACATACATGCAGGCAAAACACTCGAATTTGTAAAATATAAAGTAATTATTTTTTAAAGGCTGATGGTACTCTAATTTTCCTTTCCTTATAAATCAGCTGTTCCAATTGGTGGAAGAGTTGTTTCGTTTATAGTTCAGTAACTTCCCTAGAACATATCATGGTGTTTGTTATTCTGGGTGATGTTCTCAGCCAGACAGTGTATACATTCTGAATCTTTTATTTTAAGCAATTATATTTTGTTTTATATTTAAAGAGTGAGTTACCGAATAGTAATTTTAAAAAATGGTTTTGTAGCCTTGCTTGAGTCTTTGGCTATCTAAATTTTTTTTTTCTAAGATTTTTAACTGCTTTATTCATTTATCCTTTAAAACTCCGGCCTTTCCATTTTTCCAGGTGGAGATCGTGATGTCTCTGCTTGGCATGTTTTGCCCTCCTCTCTTTGAAACCATCGCCGCCCTGGAGAACTACCACCCACGCACCGGGCTGAAGTGGCAGCTGGGACGCATCTTTGCCCTTTTCCTGGGCAACCTCTACACGTTTCTCTTGGCCCTCATGGACGATGTCCACCTTAAGGTAAAGCCCACACACTCCACTGTGCCTGCTGTCCACTGTATCCCTTTTATAACATATAACTTTACTGTGCATCATTTCTATTAATTAAATAACTGTTGGAAGTTTAGGAAGGAATATTAAAAAGAGATGTCTCTAGAATCCATCATCCAAAGGCCACACAGTTGCAAACAGCTGCTCCGGTTCTTTCCTGCTTTTTTCTTAGGTTGTCCTTTTCTACATCATGTCTATATCATTTAGCACTCTTAATATTGTATATATGCAGGTTTTTCCATGTTGCTTCAGAGCTGTCATTGCTAGTCAATAACCCAGTAATTGTCCACTGATGCGATATGTCATGGTTGGTCAAACGGCACATCAATGCTTGTCAGACATGTACGGAATCCTGCATGTTAAGCCCTTGGGTACGGCAGGGAACTAGACACAGTCCTGTTCCAAATGGCTTCGTGCTCAGGGTCAGGAGACAGACTCATTCATACAATGTGCTGTGAAATATGTGTCAGTGGGGGCAAGTCCAAGGCAGTGTGTCAGAGCACAGGAGGCGTTCAAATCCTCGGCGTGGGGAGTGTCAGCAGATACTGGAAAGAGCCAAGGAAGGAGCTCGTGCCAACAGGAAGCTGCAGGGTGACTAGAGACTGGAGAGAAGGGAAAAGAACAGGCACAGGGGATGGACCAATGCGTCTTCCTCATCCTCTGCCTCATTACTATTCTGCAGGAACCTGTCCCTGAGGCCACAGGAACTTCTTGGAAGGTTCTAACAGTGCAAGTGACTGGCGCTGGTCCAAAGTCCTTCTACCCTCTCTGGCTTTCCTTCTTCCCCAAGAAACTGCCCCACCCTCCTGAGCCTCATACTTTACTCTGGGGTATAGTTACCACTTGCCTTTCTCTAAGACTAGTTGACTAGTTCCAGATGCCGCTGCTGTGAAGGAGCCCTCTATGCCCCCCATTATCTGGTGTGGGTGCTCCTCGGTCCCCAGAGAACATTTTCCATGGCTCAAACCATGTTGTTTTCTAATTGGCCATCTCTACTACTTACTAGACTGTGAACTTTCTGAGAGAAGATTCTTTTGGTCACTCTTGTGTCACCGGTCACTTGTATGTGCAGATTAGACCCCGAATAAACCATTCTCAAGACAAATGAACGGGTGGATGTGTGAGTGGATGGATGGATGCTAATTTAGGGAGAAGACTTCATGAAAAAGATCCAAGGGCTTCGGCCCATTGCAACCTCTCAGACTGAAAGCCTGAGAAGTTCATTTCTGAAAAGACTGTCCGATGATAAGGCAGAAGCCGAACGGCAGGGTTGGAGCTGGTTTTACTTGTTCCCATGGAAACGGCTGAGCTATCCACGGCTTCTTTCAACTTCCCATCACCATTTTCTCTTCCAGCTTTCTAATGAGGAGAAAATCAAGAACATCACTCATTGGACCCTGTTTAACTATTATAACTCCTCTGGCGGGAATGAAAGTGTGCCCCGGCCACCACCACACCCTGCAGATGTGCCCAGAGGTTCTTGCTGGGAGACAGCCGTGGGCATTGTGAGTAGTTCTGCTCTCTGAAAAGGTGGTCATTGTTCTGAGTTCTTCATTGTTTCTTCTTTGATCTTTTCATTTTGAAAATCACCCTGAAAACTCAAATGTCCATCAAGCAGGCCTTGTTTTTAGTGTTTATTTTGTATTTATTTATTTGTTTGTTTGTTTATTTGTTTATTTATTTATTTTACATCCCAGCCACAGTTTCCCCTCCCTCCTCTCCTCCCAGTCCCTTCCCCCTCCCAACTCCCCTCCACTCATATTGGTGCCTAGCCTAATTGTCATCAGAGGGTCTTCATCCAGTGACTGATGGAAACAGATGCAGACCCACAGCCAAACATTAGGCAGAGCTCGAGGAATCCTGCAGAAGAGGGGGAAAGGATTGTAGGAGCAAGAGGGGTCAAGTAGGCATTTCTTAGTCATCTTGGAAGGTCCAAGATGAAAAGAGCTGACCCTGTACTTCCTGGAACTTCACATCTATTTTCTGCCTTTAAAGTTGTGATGAAGTTGTTGTGGGAGAAGACTTTTCCTGGGGAGATGCAACACACACATCTACTCACCCCAGATAGGGAGCTCAGGACAGACCAAAGTACAGATACCACAGAAGTCCAACCAATGAGTTTTGTGGGGGTTACCTACAGGAATGTGAGCGAGGGTTACTTCTAGGAACAGAGTGATTCAAATGCAGCTACATCACCGAAGCCCCCCAGCATGTGGGACAGCTCACAAAAGCTGGGAACCTGAGCACACTGCACAGCCTGCAGGCAGCTCAACAAGTTGATAAGTATCCTTTCTGGGTGCCTTAGTTGATCTAAGCCTCCTCTGGGCAGTAGCTGGTCTTGGGGTCTCGTTTGCAGCTTAGCTTGTCTGAGATTCTTCTTTGCAGCTCAGCTCCTTTGAGAGTGACTCTCAGCAGACTTTATTACTTACTCTTAGGAGGGAGGAGCCTAGTGAATCTGGTCAGATTGAGGGACTTCCTGAAGCCATTTTGAATTGTTTTTTCCTTCCTGTTTAAGGAGCTTCCATACAGGATGGAATATTTCAATCTCCTAGGAAACTGCTACATAACAGAGGTCTGGCAGATCTTTCCTATTTAAAAAAAAAAATCCATTATGTATGCCCGTGTAAGTGGAGAAAGCTCTGGTTCATCTTCTCCATATAAATAAAAAATATTTAATTAATAGGAAGTTGTCCTGAGTAATTGATGGTCACATTAAGTCCTAGTGAGCCCTCAGATTCTAGCAATGGTATGGAGCACTGGTCATTACTAATAAACCAGGCAATTTGCATACATGACTGATAGGCTTCCCAATAACTCAGCGAGCATGATATTCCTCACTCTTAGAGGCTCAGATATTATTCCAAGGTTATTTAAATATTAGTAATTTAAATTAAGCTTTCTCTAAAGTCTGGGGTCCTTTCTTTGTTCCACCCCTCTGCCAGGAAGAATCAGGCCACCCTGACAGGTTCAGGTGAGTGGGAGAGAATGTTGTGTGACTATGATCGTTTAAGAGAAGTGGACACGTTCACATCTAGCCACTCCTTATTTTCCCCTGGTCCTCCTTACAGGAGTTTATGAGGCTGACGGTGTCTGACATGCTGGTAACATACCTCACCATCTTGGTGGGGGATTTCCTCCGCGCTTGTTTCGTCCGGTTCATGAATCACTGCTGGTGCTGGGACCTCGAGGCTGGCTTTGTAAGCTGTTTTTCCATATATTCCGCAGGAAGTCTAGTCTGACATTTGTACTCAGGTGTGCTCTTCTACATTCCATTTCCGTGTTCAGTGAATCAGTGCATTTAGTCATATCTACTAAGAGTCCTCTTTGCATTCCCAGAAGCAGCTCCACCTTTTCCCATTGTGTCCTTCTTCTAGAAAATGGAGGCATGGGGGCTGAGGAGATGGCTCAGTGTTTAAGAGCACTGGCTACTCTTCCAGAGGACCTGGGTTCCATTCATAGCTCCCAATTGGCAGCTCACAACTGTCTGTAACAACTGGTTACCTGTGTAGCACTCACCCCGGCCTTCCAGTGCCATGCCTGACACTAAGGGTCACTGGTTTCTGGCATACATTTCAAGTAAGCCTATTCCACCCTTCCTCAGCACCAACAAAACCTATGACTGTGCCTGAGAACAATAATAAATGCTGTGCTCAAAATGATAACGTCTTTGATGGGAAGGTGCAATACCACTGTCTTCAAAGTAATTTCTAAATTCCACAAGATGGCAAAGTTATAATAAAATCTGTTCAAAAATAAGCATATGAAACGTACAGGAAAACTCCTTAGAAAGAAAAAAGGGACTATACCCACTGCTCTATTGAAGTACGTATATTAAGAAGCCAGGCTTAGCAGTGGGAGATACGGTTCAGTGGGTAAGAGCTCTGGTTGTACAAGTATAAAGACCCAAGTTCAGATCCCAGAACCCATGTAGAAAGCCACACAGGGCCGTGTACAAACCTGTAATCCTAACACTGTGGATCACTGGGGCTTGGGGCTGCCAGCCTAGCTTCAGGCTTGGTGAAAGCCATTGTCTCAAAGGAATGAAGCAGAGAGTGATAAATCTGCGTGCGCGCGTGCGCGCACGCACGCACACACACACACACACACACACACACACACACACACACGTGCAAACATCATACTCACATACACACACATACAAAAAAAGCAAGAGGATCAGGAGCCTGGAGCCAGCCTGGGTTATATAGTGAGACTCTATTCCAAAAAGGAAAAGTATGATGATGCTGTGATAACTGAAATGGGAACTGTAATAAACAGCCTTGCCAACAGAGCAGAATACAAAGCCCAGAGACTGATACAAGCCAGGGGAAAACTGTGTATAATAAAGAAGCTGTTTCAAATCAGTAAGGAAGAGAAGCAATATATAAAACTGTGCTGGAGAGACGGCTCACTGGTTAAGAGCACTGGCTGCTATTCCAGAGGACCTGGGTTCAATTCCCAGAACCCACATGGTAGCTCACAACTGTTTGTAAATCCAGTCCCAGGGGATCCAGCATTCACTTCTGGCCTCTGAGGGCACCAAGCACACATGTGGTACACAGACATACAGGCAGGCAATATAAATAAAAAAAGTTTTAGACTTACCTTGTCTACAGAGTAAGTTCCAGGACGCGAGGGCTACACAGAGAAACCCTGTCTCAAAAAGCCAAAACAAAACAAAACAAAGAAAACAACTGTTTTTAAAGCTGAGCTATGGATGGGGAGAGGATCATATCCCTCACTTACTTTACCTACAATTACAATTTGTTGTTGTTGCTGAAAAGCTTCAGTTCTAATAACTTCAAAACTTTGGGGGCTGAGTAGATGGCTTAGTAGTTACGAGCTCTGTTGCTCTTGCAGAATAGCTGGGTTCAGTTTCCAGTGCCCACACAGCACACAGCTGCTAACAGTGTCTGTAACATCAGTTCCAGAGGCTCTGATGCCCTCTTCTGGCTCCCAGAGGCACTACACATATGTGGTGCACAGATACAAACAAAATACCCATATACATAAAATAAAAATTTATTAATTAAAAACTTCAAAACTTTTCTTTGAAAGTTGAAAATAAGGATGGGGAAATAGTCTAGTTGGTACAATACTTGTCTAGCATGCCAGAGACCCTGGGTTCAACCTCCAGCACCACATAAACCAAGTATGGTAGCTCACATCTATAATCCCAGTACTTGAGAGGTGTAGGCAAGAGAATCAGAAGTTCTAGCTGTGTAACAAGTAAATGCACAGCCTGGGCTATGTGAACCCTATTTCAAAATACATATGTACATACATACGTACGTAGGTACATACATACATATGTATGTATCAAAAGTCTATTAAAGAAACAATTCTGCTACCAGGTATGATGCTTTAATCTCAGAGCTCGAGAAGTTAAGGCATAAGGATCATCATAAATTTGAGGTCAGCCTGAGTTATACAGTGAGACTGTCAAAAATTAACAAAATAACGAAAAATCAGAGTTCTGAACCCCAGGCAGGCATTTTGGGTGAGTTGTCTTGACTTGGATAGGATCTAGCTGGAATCACCTAATGTCTGCTTGCTCACTCCCTCTCCCTTCCTCTTCCCTTCCTCTTCCCTTCCTCTCCCTTCCTTCCCCTCCCCCTCCTCCCCTCCCTTCTCTCTCTCCTCTCCCTCCCCTCCCTCCTCTCTCTCCTCTCCCTTCCTCTCCCTCTTCTCCCTTCCCCTCCCCCTTCCTCTCCCTCCTCTCCCTCCTCCCCCTCCTCCTCTCCCTCCTCCCCCTCCTCCCCTTTCTCCCCCCTCCTCCCCTTCCTCTCTCTTCTCCCCCCTCCAGCCCTCATATGCTGAGTTCGATATCAGTGGAAACGTGCTGGGCTTGATCTTCAACCAAGGAATGATCTGGTGAGTTGTCTGTTTCATCTGAGGAGCATATAATTTGGGGAGTCAAAAAACTAGAGCCTCCAACTTTGTCTCTCAAGGAGCTTGTGGGGGGGATACAAATCATCTCAGCTCTCTCAGCTCAGTTTCTGATAAGAACTAGAGGGAGGACAGGATGAGAAGCAGGACAGCATCTAGCTAACCAGTGTGCTACAGAGAAAGTAGAAATGAGGAGAGAGAGAACAGAGGAGGAAGAAAGAAGAAAGCAAGAAGGCAGGGAAGGAGAAGAAAGGGAAAAGGGAGTAGACGTGAGAAGGATGAGGGCGGGGAGAACAGGAACTGGTGAAGGAAGGAACTGCCTCCTCTGGAGGCTGACGTCAGCCTAAGACTTTGGAGATGCAAAGGACTGTCTCCAAGCCGCTCTCTGCCAGTGGGGCTGCTCATGGAGGCCGGAGACTGTGATCCGCTGAAGTCTGCTAGGGAAGCAGTGGTAAAATCCTGGCCAGGGTCCCAGCCTGGAGTGCTCAGAGTTCTCTCCCTCTCTTGGGGACTGGATGGCTCCGGCCTGATGACAGACATCTTGGTTAAACGGAAGGCCTCTTTTCTTGGACTCTTCAGGAAAATGCCTTGATGGCATGCCCCTGATCCACCCACCGCATGACCTTCTATTAGCCTTCCCTCCCCTGTCCCGCCAGGTCAACCAGATATCCTGTTTCTGACCTTTCAGGATGGGCTCCTTCTATGCTCCGGGACTGGTAGGCATCAATGTCCTGCGCCTGTTGACCTCCATGTACTTCCAGTGCTGGGCAGTGATGAGCAGCAACGTGCCCCACGAGCGTGTGTTTAAAGCCTCCCGGTCCAACAACTTCTACATGGGCCTGCTGCTGCTGGTGCTCTTCCTCAGCCTCCTGCCGGTGGCCTACACCGTCATGTCCCTCCCACCCTCCTTCGACTGTGGCCCCTTCAGGTGCACTCTTGGTTGCTGTGGGGAGTTCTCCTCTGGAGGCAGTCTGCCCACAGGTCCCGGCTCAGAATTCCAGTTCTGGTTTCACGCCAGCCTGGGAGAGGCTGTGGAACTTTGGGCAGACCATCAGAACTATTCAGCCAGTTTTCTGTAAGGATGGAAACGCTCCATGTGGTAGCAGGCAGCTACTTGTGGCTACTGGGTGCTTGAAATGAAGAACTGAGAAACATAATTTCTCATTTTTTTCATTGTAATTAATTTTGATTTTAATAACTACAAGTGGCTGACTACCATATTAGATGGTATACGTGTAACCTTTTAACAGTAGATGATCTGCCACCTGTGGTTGTCTTAGGTATTCTAACCTTCATCCAGGCGTGAAGCAGGAATAAATAGCTGATCCTTTTTTTTTTTATAAATATGTGACCCACTGAAAACAAACCCCTCTACTCCCTAAAAAGAAATAGGTCTGGGACTAAAGGTGTTTAGAGCACAGTACCCTTTTACCAAGTGTCTTCTCACTTAGACATTCTCTATGTGGCATCCTTGAGAATCTTATAATAAGTTAGCATGGGTAAATTAGTGTACCCATCCTTGCTGAATACCAGATAAGAAATAGGTAAGGCAAGTGAGAAGGGCCATGCAAGGCCCTTGCATAATCCTGAAAGCAAGTATCTTATCCAGCTGTGCTCTCACCCAGCCAGAGGCAGCAGCCCTGCATGCCCGTGGGAAGTGTGCTGTGGGGGAAGCTGGTTGTCTCCTTTTCAGTTAAGATGGCCTGAAGATGGCAGAACCTAGAGGAGGTATTGGATGGAGTGTGCTCTCAGAGCACGATCCGGTCACACAAGATGCTGCACAGAAAAGAGAAGGCAGCAGTCAGGGGGAAGGTTGCAGGACACTAGAGATGCCAGAGTGAGGGAACAGCCACCTGGAAGAACTCAGTCAGCCTCTTCCTAAGCAAGCCTGGGTGCAGGTGCTGCCACCACTTCCTTAGACCATCCACCTGTGCCCAGGAAAGATGGCTCCTTGGCCTGTGGCATGCCTGTTCCCTGACATTTGTGTCCCTTTTGCCTCATCTGCTCTCCTGGGTATCCCTGGCAACCTGTATCAGATCATAGGAAACGAGACCGAACCTGAAACTCAAGGAAGAAGCATGGTTACAGCTTCCACAAAGCTGAGCCGATGAAGGCCAACTTCCCAACGGGGCCTTTGCTAGAGTGCCCAACTGAAATGTGTGTGTGCGCGTGCGAGCGTGTGCTTGCACACATGCACACACACACATATCATACCACACACACACACACACAATCACACCACACACACACCACACCACACACACACACACACACACACACACACACACACACACACACACACTACACACACACACACCATACACCACACACACACACATACAAACAGCTTGTTGCTGCTTATCTGTTTATCTCCTTCTTACCCTTAAACAAATCGTGTGTTCCTTGCTGGACATGGTGACCACTGGCTATAACCAAGCACTCAGAAAAGGCTAAGGCAGGAGAAGCATGACTTTGAATCCAAACCTGTTTCAAAAAACAAACAGACAAAACATGCTGTGTCTTTCCCTTGTTTATCTTGTTTATTACATTCTCCCATGGAACAGAAGATCCACGAGGAGATGGTGTTTTCTTCCTTTCTCACTGCATTATACTCAGTGTCCGAAAGAAGACAGCTGCCTTATGGTTGATGTTCCAAGAAGATTGCTACCTCACAGAAATTCAGTTGCACAGGGAAGAAGTTAGGGTTCAGACCACACTAAATAAATGCCTACAGGGACCCAGCAGGCAACAAATGACTGAGATGATTAGTGTCTTGTAACATATAATCACAAATGGGAGTTGGTGAGCTGTGCCCTTTGGAACAAATCCAAAACACCATCTGGCTTTGTAAATAAAGTTTTATTGGAACACAGCCATATCAATGTGCTTACCTATACTCCATAGGTACTTCTTCATCACAGCAGTAGGACTGAGTAGTTGAAGCAGAAACCACCCTCACTGCACAGCTGATGGAATCATTTAGGTCTGTGCAGAAAATTTACCTGATTTGGAGAGCAGATCTAAGAGCCAGCTCTCTCATTGACCAGCTGGGCAGTTTTGAGCTCAGCACAGGCTCATCCCCTGAAAAATAGAGATATTGGTAAAGGTTAGCTCGTAGAGTTGTTTTGAGAATCTAATGTGTTGTTATTTGTAAAGTACTTAGAGGACCAACCATGTTGGTCTTCAGTACGGATCTCTATAAACCTGTTGCTCTGCCCAAGTTGAGGATGGTTGGTGCTTACCTCAGCTGCCTGGCACCATGAAGACCATGGGCCCATTATTACAGGCTTTTCAGATCCTCATAAAAATCTGAACAGTTATTTGAAAACATCTACCACTTTCACTTAAAAATTCATTCAAATTTTTAAACCAAAAAAAAAATTCTACATCAACCCACAGAATAAGTCTATAGACATGGACTACACCTTGGCCAGCATTGATCTGCTCCCTCCAGAGCAGCCTGGAGCTATTCAGTGTGCCTATATCTAGTCATGTAAATTGAGGACACAGTCAGGGGGAGGTGAGAGATGTTTGATTATGGACTCAGGCTTTCCCTGTGGCCAGTGAAAAGACTTTGGACATCGGCTGCAGATTTAGAACAATGTACGGTATTCAGGATTCCAAGGCTTGCTGCTCACTTTTGTGTGAATAACAACACGGTGCATTCATGTCTATTTCAATTTCTTCACTCATGAATTCACTCACCTTTGAGAAAAGAGAGAAGGCAGTCCTATAGCACATGGACTCTGACAAAGGACTGCAGTGTCCATCACGGGAGAGAAGAGCAGCCCACAGGTCCCTAAGTCGTTTGTCTGTGTTTGCAGCTCAGGTCTTTTATGTTTTCTTTTCTTTTTTTGACTTGTAAGGGAGACAGATGACTTTAATTTACTCTCCTTTCTCTCTCTGGGTTTGTTGAAATTGCACCAGCGATCTTTGCAGTTGGCTAGAAGGAGGAAGACAGAAAGGAAGAAAGGTGCCCAGGAGCCCGATAGCCCCAAACGACCATGCACTTCCCCCGTGAAGACAGGGGAAGTGAGCGGGTAGCCCAAGTATCCGAAAGCTTAGTCTGTGACAGTCACTGAATGAGGTACTGATTTGTGCTCCTAACACCGCCATCAGGTGGGAGGCACTAGATATACTAAACATCAGGTAACTTTGTCTGTCTGCAAGGAGCCTGATCATGTGTATTTTTTTTTTTTTTTTTTGGTTTTTCGAGACAGGGTTTCTCTGTGTAGCTTTGCGTCTTTCCTGGAACTCACTTGGTAGCCCAGGCTGGCCTCGAACTCACAGAGATCCGCCTGGCTCTGCCTCCCGAGTGCTGGGATTAAAGGCGTGCGCCACCACCGCCCGGCCGATCATGTGTATTTTAAACTTTGCAAGTTACTAAGGTTTGAGTATGATTCGTTGCCTCTGAAAGTAATGTTGAAATCTGGCTGCCATTCTGTCAGTCTGAGGAAGCCTAGACTTTAGAGGTGGTTTGCGGCAAGCCTCAGGAAAATGTAATGGAATCCAGCTACTGTGACAGAAGCTACTACTTGGAAAGGTCAAGCCATGACTTAAGAAGTCTTGGTGATATTTTAGCTTTTGTATATATATTAGCTAGTTCCTACAATGATTTTCTTGTTTGCTATGTGTGGTTCCAAGAACTCCTAACAGTGTATTTATCTAAAATACCTATTAAGCATCCAAGGCCAACCGATCTCCTGAACTAATAGAAACAATGCCTGTCGCCTAGGTCAGGTGGACAGCTTTATTTCTTGTGTAATTTAAGATGAGAGCCTCCTTTCTTATACAGCCTTACTAACATTATAGACCCCTAACTTCTTACCTAACCACTTCTAGAAATGTAGACTGAGCACATAAATCCCCTTCTCGATATACTAATAAATATTAGCCCTCAGTTGACCTCCTCCCTTACCACTCCCTTTTTGAGTTGTAAAAGAAAGCCTGACGGTCACTGCCTGAGGAAAATTCTTACCTGCCTTTATGACCCTGTAGGAATTCAAGCCTGGTGACCTGGCTGGAGGGGGAGGATTGCTATTGCTTGGGTTTATAACTGAATACCCTAGAGAACTTGAGGATGGAGAACTGAGAGGTATATGGAGGATTTTGACTAGAGAACTTGAGGACGAGATGGAAGATGAGGAAGAGCCAGACGGGGAAGTACTAGATAGGTAAGAACAAGATAAGAAGAACCTAGATGAGGCAGAATTAAGATGAGAGAATCAAGATAGAACTTAGAGGGGACAGCAGATAAAGGTAGAGAGAAATCACGCAAGAAAGAAGCTAGGCACGAGAACAGACCTGAAGCTGTGTAGACAGACAAAGAGCTCAGTGTACTTAGATGCATTTCCCAAAAATAATTCTTGCCTTTCGTAGTTTCTCTTCTGGGTCCCTGGGAAGAAGATTATTAAGACTGGTCCTTTAATAATATTTGAGAGTGGTTGATTAATTAAATGGTAGCAGTGCCATTCTCTCGTGAAAATTGTCTATCAATCATAGTTGTGAGTGAGTTCTCACTCTTGGAACTGGACTAGTTAACGTAAGAGTAATGTGTTCTAAGCAAGTCTGTCCCTGTATTTGTCTCTTCTCCACGTATCTGCTCTCACCTTAATTTCTGCCATGATTGACAGCAGCCAAAGATGTCAGGTTGCAAGTGGGCAACTCCATCAAATAAGAACAGAAGGCCAGGTGACTGTGAAAGAAGAAAAAGTTTTGAAAATCCATGATGCTGGCTTTACAAATGAAAGAAGGGGACTTAAGCCGAGGGACACAGGGCATGCATTCCTCTGTGGCCTCCCTCAACTTAGGTTAACCCAGTGAAACCATTTCAAACTTCTGGCCTCCAGAGCCATAACACAGTCCATGTGTTACCCAACAGTGTACTAATTGTCACAGCAGCTACCACACTACCACTTCAAAGACAAAATAATTCATGTTCAACTTTGGCTTAAAAGCCTAATATTTAAAGTTCTCTTTTTTATTATTATTTTTAGATGCTAGATATGTACTAATAATAAAAAATAAATCAAATGTCATGACATGGTGATATGCATGGCACCTGAAATGTCATAACTAAAATGTTGCAGGTTGTTTTTTTTGAGACAGAGCTCAGGCTAGGTTTGCACAATCCTGCTGCCTCAGCTCCCCAGATGCTGGGACTACCAGCATGCAACACAACAGTGCCAAGCAATGAAATAGCCACACAGTCTCTGATGCAACTGCTCAGCTCTGCAATTATAGCATAATATATACCAGTATATCGTATATTATATAATGCCATTAGAGCTTAGCCATATACACTGCACCAATGAATGAGCATGGCTGTGTTCCAGCAAAAATTTATAGTCGTTGAAATGTAAAAAAAAAAACAAAAAACACTTCAGTTTTTATATATCACAAGATATTATACTTGATTTTTTTCAACCACTTAAAAAATGTAAAAAGAAAGACATAAAGAAAGAAAACTATTTTTAGCTTGCAGGTGACAAGCTGATTTGTCCCTGAGGCATTATGTGTCAATCCGATCTTTGCACAGGGAACACTAAGCTGCTGACTACATCATTGTATGACACAGCTTACCGGTGCTCTCCTCAGCACCTGCTGACTTCAGTCGGAACCCTCTAACTGTGTGAGCATTGTGCCTTATTGCCTGTGGAGAGAAGTGGGAGGGAGAGCAAAGAAACTGTCGGTACCTTCTCCAGGATGAAAGCTCAGCCTGTGCAGTAGACAGCCCTGTGGTGATGAGGGCGCCCTGTGGTGATAATGTGTTCCCCCCAAATAGTGTGCACCCTAATAAACTTATCTGGGGTCAGAGAACAGAACAGCCACTAGACATAGAGGCCAGAAAATGGTGACACACACACCTTTTAATCCTATCACTTGGAGGGCAGAGATCCATCCGGATCTCTGTGAGTTCAAAGCCATGCTGGAAACAGCCAGGCATGGTGACTCACGCCTTTAATCCCAGGGAGTGATGGCAGAAAGGTATATAAGGCGTGAGGACCAGGAACTAGAGCAGGTTAAGCTTTTAGGCTTTTGAGCAACAAACAGTTTAGGTGAGATTCATTCTGGATGAGGACTCAGAGGCATCCAGTCTGAGGAAACAGGATCAGCTGAGGAATTGGCAAGGTGAGGTAGCTGTGACTTGTCCTGCTTCTCTGATCTTCCAGCATTCACCCCAATACCTGGCTTCAGGTTTGTTTTTATTAATAAGAACTTTTAAGATTCGTGCTACAGCACCCTGTATCCACTCTTCTAATTCAATCTTCCTCATCACAAGACTGTGGACAGACACTTGAAATGTTTGTCTAAAAAACAGAATTTCAAAATTGTACTTTAATTACTTTTTATAATTATTTTAATAGTATACTATTAATAATAGAGTTTGATGGTACAACTCTAGTGGAAAGAACCAGGACATGAATGCAGTCATAAAGAGAATGGGAAGATGTCTCAGCCACAAGCCAGGTTCCCAGAACCCACATAAAGGCTGGGTAGGTGTGGCTTCCCCCTGGAATCCCAGCCTCTGAAGGCAGATCCAGAAGACTCCATGAGAAAGCTGGCTAGATAGACTAGCCATATTGTCTAGCTCTGGGTTTGAAAACTCCTGTCTCAAATAAGGTGGAAGAACAATTGAGAAAGACTCCTGACATCAACCTCAGACCTCCATATGCATGGGCACACACACACACACACACACACACACACACACACACACACACACACATATATATATATATATATATATATATATATATATATACAGGAAAAGAAGATAGATGATAGATAGATAGATAGATAGATAGATAGATAGATAGATGAAAAGATGGATGGATAGATGATAGAGACAGACAGACAGACAGACAGACAGACAGACAGATAGATAGATAGATAGATAGATGGAAAGATGATGGATGGATAGATAGATAGATAGATAGATAGATAGATAGACAGATAGATGATAGATGGATGGATAGATAGATGATAGATAGATAGATAGATAGATAGATAGATAGATAGATAGATAGATAGATCATGGTGTTTTATAGAATAAAGGATTTGAACAAGAATCTTCAAACTCCTAACTCTACTTGATAGCACCAAAACTACCATTCAAGAGCCACCAGTATCCAGGTATCCCTTCACAATAATTCTAAAGAATTAGAAGAAAAATGCATCTACTCTTGTAAACAGTGCAGAAGCCCACCTTGGGGCAATCAGTTTCCTGACTGGAAGATTAACTGTAGGTGTGCTTTAGATGTACTATGATGTTTCCATCACATTAATCTTAGGAGAACTGCTTCCAGGTCAAGAAACCCAGAAGAGTTCATGTTTGTCTCATAACTAAATCATGGACCATTTTCTCCTGGCACAGAGACTTATGTGTATGGTGCCAGCTACTTGGGACTGAGGTGGAAGCATTACTCCAACCCAGGAGTTCGGGAATAGACCGGGCAACATAGCAAGAGCCTATCCCCTAAAAGAAAAGAAGAATGCGTGAGAAAAATCTACTTTGTTTTTGCTGAAGGTGTCAAACACAGAAGAGCAGTGTAGTTTGAGAGTTTGGGAGTTACTGAGAGCAGGAAGCTAGTAAGTACTAGGCAGCCAGCCCCAGCTGTCCTAACCAGAGTAGCAGCTAGCTCCCCATGGGATCTTCTTAATCCATTTGGAGCAGAACTCTTGTTCTCTCAGAAAAGCAGTTGTAAGCAGCAGCTTTAGAGCCATGGGGTCATGGGCATGACTATGTGTGCCACAGAAGCTTTGTGCATGCTATAACGTGTCCTCTCTTCTTTCTAGTGGGAAGAACAGAATGTATGATGTCCTCCATGAGACCATTGAAAATGATTTCCCTAAGTTCCTGGGCAAGATCTTTGCATTCCTTGCCAATCCAGGCCTGATCATTCCAGCCATCCTACTGATGTTGTAAGTTACCCAGAGGCCCTGACTCTGCCTCAGGGACACTTCTCCTAGCAGCTGAGGATTCCTGCACAAGGTTCTGCATTTCACTCTCTTTGTCTGGATTCCCAGAAGTAGATCCTTAGACAGAGTCAAATACAAGTAGTTTATCAGGCGTAGGGGGAGTGGAGGGCATGGTTACCTCTGTTGTGGATGAGTCTACTGTAAATCTTTCTGGGAAACCCAAATCAGAGCTCCTTGTCTAAGGGTAAGGAGTCCAGGGGATTTGCAACCAGCCTGGTGGGGTGGAAATATCTAAGAGCTGTGGGGTCAGAACTTCTCAGAAAGCTGAGAGTGCGTTATGCTTGGATGTGGGGTGTCTCCTAAGGATCACTATTGAAGCCTTCATCCCCAGCTGGTGGCACTATCTTTGGGAAGTTCTGGAAACTTTAGTTGGAGGCTAGCTGGAAGAAGTAGGTCATTGCATGTGTTAGTTACTACTGTTGGATCGCTGAAACCAAAATACCGAATGTTTCACGAGGCTATTGCTGGGGAAATAAGAACAGCGCCAAAGTCCAGCTGTGCGAGCCATTGAGTTGATTAGGATTACTTACGGGAATACTGCTGCAAGGCTACTTCCAGAAGCAGAAATGGCTCAAAGCCAGCTGCTTCACCCAAACCCACCCTGAGTGGAAAGCTGAAGCTCACCGCACAGCCTGTAGGCAGCTCAACAGGTCAGAGGGGCTCTTCCAGACAATGCTCAGTTTGTCTGAGTATCTCTCAGCAGTTCTTACTGCTTATAAACTTGGGGAGGAAAGGCCTAGTTATCTGGTCCATTCAAGGAGTTCCCAGTTTTTGGTATCTGACTATGTAGTGTTGACTAGCCTGGAGCTTCCTGTGTAGACTGGATGGACTTGAACTCATACAGATCCACCTGCCTCTGGCTCCTGAGTGCTGAGACTAAAGACACACACCACTGTCCATCATCCTAAAGCTTTTTTGAGTTGTTTACTTCCTGGGGTTTAGCAGCTTGTCAGCAGGACTGACTGTTTCACCTCCCTTTAGAACAGCCTCAGTCTTGAGCTGCTCCCCTACAGGATGAGCTGTCCTGTCTCAGAGGAAATTTGATACACAATGCTCAGCAGAGACAGCCCGAGGGAGATAGGATTCATTTCGCTCCTCCTTTCAGGGACACAGCAGAACAGTTCTTGTCAGGCTGACCAGGAAAGAGGGAGAGCGCAATGTTGGCACTTGGCCTTCTCTGTTTCCTCCCTACTAAGTCCATGCTCCCCAGCTCGTGAGCTGGCACTGCCTACATTCACATGGCCCTCTCATCCTCAATCGATCCTTTCTGAAACCACCCTTGCTCACACCCAGAGGTGTGCCTTACCATGTCCTAGGTGATTCGGGTCAGGCTCACACTGGGCACATGTCCTTGGGGTCTATATCTTGTCTGTGCCCCTGGCTGTCATTTTCTTTGCTTCCCATCCACCATACTAAAGCTATTTTATACCCTCTTTATCAAGGTGGGATGATATCTCTGAACGCATGAACAACATAATCCTTCCTCCTTTAAGTCATTTCTCTCAGGCACTTCATACAGTAACGACAAAGTGCCTGCCACAGAGGGCAGCTCAGCCTGACCCTTCTGGGTTGTATTTGTGTGCTTTCTGTTGCTGTCCTGAACACCATGACCAAAACCATCTTACAAAGGGAAGGGTTTGTTTGGCTTACATGACACTGTGTCCATCACTGAAGGAAGTCAGGGCAGGAACTCAAGCAGCGTACATGGGAACCATAGAGGAATGCTGCTTACTGGCTTGCTTCCCATGTTTTTCTCAGTTCGCTTTCTTATGTAACTCGGGACCACCTGCCCAAGGGTGGCCCCACATCAGTCATTAATCAAGAAAACACCCCACAGACATGCTCACAGGTCACTCTGGCAGAGGCAATTTCTCAGGTGAGGTTTCCTCTTCCCGGTGACTCAGTTTAAGTTAATAAATACTAACCAGCATGTAGGTTTTTTTTTAATACAATATATTCTGATGATGGTTTCTCTTCCCCCATCTCCTCCCAGTTCCTCCCCACCTCCCCTCCCATCCGAATCCACACCCTTTCTCTCATTAGAAAACAAACAGGCATATAAGGAAAAATAATAAAATAAATAAAAACAAGAATAAACAAGTAAGAATGGGACTAAACAGAACAAAAAGAGCCAAAGAGAAAGCACAAGAAACACATATAAATGCAGAGACACACATGTTCACACACACAGGAATCCAAAAAACCCGCAAAACCAGAAACTGTAATATATATACACATACAAAGGACCTGTAAGGCAATAAATAAATAAATAAATAAGACCCAACACAACATTATGAAACAAAGAGCTCCAAAGATGCTGTTGAGTTTGTTTTGTGTTGGTCGTCTACTGCTGGCCATGGGGCCTACCCTTGAGTGTGCTTAGTTTCTCCAGTGAGACTCCCTTGGAGAGAATGAATTTTTAATTTGAAAGTGATTATAAATTGGAGTGAATGTCTGGGTTAGGGATGGGAGCATGTGTCTATGTCTCCTCTCAGCTCTAGGACCCCATCCGGTGCAGACTCATACAGATCCTGTGCATGTTCTCACAGTCTCAGTGAGTTCACATGTGTGTTGGTCATGCTGTGTTTAGAAGGCCTTGTTTCCTTGGTGCCCATCCATCCCCTTTGGCTCTTAACACTCTTTCTATCTCCTCTTCCCAGAGTTCCCTGGGCCCTGAAAGGAGGGGTTTGATGGAGATATCCCATTTAGGGTTGTGTGTTCCAAGGTCTCTTGCTCTCTGAACATTGTCTGGCTGTGGGTCTCTGTATTAGTTCCCATCTATAGCAGGAGGAGGCTTCTCTGATGATGGCTGAGCAACATATTGATCTATGAGGATAGCAGAATGTCATTAGGAGTCGTCTTATTACTACATTCCTTTAGCAGAACAGTAGTATTCCATTTTCCCCTAGGTTCCTAGCCTATCTAGTCTCAGATTCTTGGCCACCCATGCAGTGTCGGGGATGGGTTCCGTCTTATAGAATGGGTCACAAATCCATTCAGATGTTGGCTGGTTACTCCCACAAGCTTTGTGCCGCTGTTGCACCAGCTTATCTTGCAAGTAGTTCGTTTGTGTAAACCCAAGGGTTTGTTTATCTTTCTTCTTTGGGAGTGTGCAGAAAACCTTCCAGTATCATTAGCACTTGTCCGTAGGGACAAAAGCTCTATGTAGGCACCGGCTTGACTTTTCCCTGTTCAATAAGTTATGTAGGTGTTGTCTTCAGCAATAGGAACTTACTGTCAGTTTGTGGAAAGCAACCAGTAGCCTTGGAGCCTAGGTTGTTTGGGGAGTCCCATGGGATGCTTGTGGCCAACAACTCAATTAGATGTAACCTATTCCCAGTACTGGAAGCTTCATTTGGTGACTAGAAATATCTAGTTAGGGCTATGTCACCCCATTATTTGGTGATTTTATTTAGCTCAGCTTCATATATGTATATTATTTAGGAAGCTTCTACTGTATTAGGTTTCCATCTGACCACTCAAATGGCCTTTAGTTTTAGATGTCCCTCCCTGTCTGATCCTCCCATTCCAGTCCCCACCTTGTCTATTCTAGTTCCCCTTCCTAGGGAGATCCATCCCTCATCTGCCCAGTGAAGCATTTATCTAAGTTATTCTTTATCAATAAAAACTCAGGAGTCAGATATTGGGGTAGAAACCTGATAGATGCACAGAGCAACAGAGAAATGATCAGCTGATCCTGTCTTTCCATATTCCCAGATCAAAAAGGACTGAGACTCGTTCTAAGCCCCTCCCTATTGCTTCCTGTGTCTCTCTATCCTAATCTGGGTCCTCCAAAAACTCTATGGTTTATTCTAGCCAACTGAATGTAGACCCTGCCCTCCGATTCAAGGTTTAACTTTATTGGCAGTCTCAGCGTGACAGTGCAAACAAATTTCCTGCAACAGCCCAGTTCCTTACTCTGTACATAACCTCTGTGGTTATACAAATTGTAGCTTGCTTATAAAAGACCTAACAGCTAACATCCAGATATAAGTGAATACACACCACATTTGTCTTTCTGGTTCTGGGTTACCTCACTCGGGATGATTTTTTTCTAGCTCCATCCATTTACCTAAAAATTTCATGATTTCATTTTTTTTAATGACTGAGTAACACACCATTGTGTAAATGTACCACATTTTCTTTATCCATTAATCCATTTATGGACATCTAAGTTGTTTCCAGTTTCTGGCTATTATGACTAGAGCAGCAATGAACATGGTTGAACTAGTGTCTCTGTGGTAGGGTGGAGTATCCTTTGGGTATATGCCCAAGAGTGGCATAGCTGGATCTTGAGGTAGTTTGATTGCCCTGTGGAACCACCACACTGTTTCCATGGTGGCTGTACAAGTTAGAATTCCCATCAGCAATGGATGAATGTTCCCCTTACTCCACATCCTCTCCAGCATGATCTGTCATTTGTTTTATTGATTTTAGCCATCTAGATAGGTGTAAGATGAAATCTCAAAGTAGTTTTGATTTGGATTTCCCTGAAGACTAAGGATGCTTAGTCTTCATTTCTCCCTTTTTCTTTCTTTCTTTCTTTTTTTCTTTTTGATTTTTTGAGACAAAGTTTCACTGTGTAACATCCTTGTCTGTCCTGGAACTTTGTAGACCAGGCTGGCCTCATACTCACAGAGATCCACATATCTCTGCCTCCTGAGTATTGGGATTAAAGGCATGAACCACCACTGCCCAGCAGTGAGCATTTCTTTAAGTGTTTCTCAGCCATTTGAGTTTCCTCTTTTGAGAATTCTGTTTAGATCTGTACCCCATTTTTTTTAAATTGGGTTATTTGTTTTCTTAATGTCCAAGTTTTTTTGGGGGGGAGGTTGTTTGTTTGTTTAGTTCTTTATGTATTTGGGATATTAGCCCTCTATTGGATGTAAAGTTGGTAAAAATCTTTTCCCATTCGGTAGCCCGCTGCTTTGTCCAAATAATGGTGTCTTTTGCTCTACAGAAGTTTTTCAGTTTCATAAGGCTCCATTTATTTGTTGATTTTAGTGCCTGAGCTATTGGTGTTCTGTTCAGAAAATCTTCTCCTGTGCCAATGAGTTCAAGACTATTTCTCCTTCTCTTCTATCTGGCTTCATGTTGAGGCCTTTGATCTATCTGGAGATTTATATAAGGTAATAAGTATGGATTCTTCTGCATGCAGCCATCCAGTTTAACCAGCACCATTTGTTGAATATTCTGTCTTTTTTCTAGTGTGTGTTCCTGGCTTCTTTATCAAAAATCAGGTGTGAACTTCTTTCTGGGTCTTCAATTCTACTCCATTGAGCAATGTGTCTGTTTTTGTGCCAAAACCATGCTGGTTTTGTTGCTATATCTCTAAAGCAAAATTTTAGATTAGGGATGGTGGTATCTCCAGCAGTTTTTTTTAATTCAGAATATTTTAACTATCCTGGGTTTATCTGTGCTCCTATATAAAGTTAAAAATTGTCCTTTCAAGTTTTGTGAAAAATTGTGTTGAAATTTTGATGGGTATCGCATTGAATTTGTAGATTGATTTTGGCAGGATGGCCATTTTTACTACATTAAGCAATGTTCCTTCTGTTTCTATTTTGTGGAATAATTTGAAGAGTATTGGCATTCATTCTTCTTTGATAGTCTGATAGAATTCTGTACTAAAAGCACCTGGCCTTGTGATTTTTCTTTTTTTTTTTTTCTTTTTTTTTTTTTTTTTTTTTTTTTTTGGTTGGGAAACTTTTAATTGCTGCTTCTGTGTCACTAGGTGTTACAGGTCTTTTTCTTTAATTGCTTATCTGATCTTGATTTAACTTTGGTTGTTGGTGTTCTGTGTTACATGGTCAGAGGGTCACTCCTAAACATAATTCAGGTTTAGCAACAGCTGCAGGCAAGCCAGCTTCTGATGAACTGACTTGGTGGCTTCACAAAAGCCTGCTATATTAATACACACACACACACACACACACACACACACCTTTGCAAGTCAATTTCCGTATACCAAAACCTCTTTTCTGGAGTTGTTTGAAGGAACCATTTGCCTAAGCAGTTCTCAGCCATGAGACCTCCTGGTTTTCCAGGTCCTCTCAAGACTAAATTATGCAAAGGCTCTGGAATTCCTTCAAAAGAGCAACTCAGATAACAATCCCTGACTTTAAACAAAAAATAGTTCAAAGCCTAGGTGCTAGCACTCGGAATTCAAGCCAGATGCAACGGCTCTGTGGAATCTCTCCCTACAGTTGATAGATGGTTTATATCAAGAAAATTATCCATTTCTTTTAGAGTTTCCAATTTGATGGAGTGCTACTAGTTTTTAAAGTGTCCTTAATGAGTCTCTGGCTTTCCTCAGTGTTTGTTGTTATGTCCCCCTTTTCATCTCTAGTTTTGTTAATTTGGATCTTCTCTCTCCACCTTTTAGTTAATTGGGCTACAAGTTTGTCAATCTTATTGATTTTCTCAAAGAATCAACTATTTGTTTCATTGATTCTTTGTTGTGTTTATTTGTTTCTATTTTATTTTATTTTATTTTTGTTTCTCCCCTGAGTTTGATTATTTCTTGCCATTTACTCCTTTTGAGTGTTATTTCTTCTTTTTGTTCCAGAGTTTTCAGGTGTGTTGTTAAGTTACTAATATAAGATCGCTCCAATTTTTTATGTAGGCACTTAGTGCTATGAACTTGTCTCTTAGAACCGCCTTTATTGTACATCGAAAGTTTGAGTATGTTGTGTTTTCATTTTCATTCAGTTTTAGAAAGCTTAAAATTTCTTCCATAATTTCTGTCTTGACCTATTTTTCATTCAGCAATTTGTTCCATTTTCATGAGTTTGTAAGCTTTTTGTTGTTTTGTTGTTGATATCCAGTTTTAATCCATGGTTGTCAGATAGGATTCAGTGTGTTATTTCAGTTTTCTTGTGTCTATTGAGACTTACTTTGTGCCCAAGTATATGGTCAACTTTGGAGAAAGTTCCATGAGCTGCTGAGGATGTATATTCTTTTGTATTTGGCTGAAATGACCTGTAAATACCTGTTAGATCCATTTGGTTCATAATGTCAGTTAGCTCCAGCATTTCTCTGTTTAGCTTTTGTCTGGAAGACCTGTCTGTTGGCAAGAGTGGGGTACTGAAGTATCACTATTACAGTGTGAAGGTCAATATATGGTTTAAGGGCTGTAGTCATGTTTCTTTCATGAATTTGTGTGCCCTTGTATTTGGTGCATAGATGTTAAGAATTGTAATATTGTCTTCATGGAATTTTCCTTTGGTGAGTATGTAGTGTCCCTCCTCATCTCTTCTGATACATTTTGGTTTGAAGTCTATTTTGTCAGATATTTAAATGGCTGCATCAACTTTCTTCTTGGGTCCATTTGCTTGGAACATCTTTTTCCATCCTTTTACCCTGAGTTGATGTCTATCCTTGATGTTAAAGTGTGTTTCTTGGATGCAGCAGAATGAAGGATCCTGTCTTCACATCCATTCTGCTAATCTGTGTCTTTTTATTGGGGAACTAAGACTATTGATATTGAGAGTCATGAGTGAGCAGTGTTTCTTGGTTACCATTATTTTGCTATTGTGGTATGAATTATTTTCCCCCTCTTTTGATTTTCAGGTCTGATATCATTTACTCTTTGCGTTTTCTTGGGTGTTGTTAATCTCTTCAGGTTGAAGTTTTCCTTCTTTTGCCTTTTGTAGGGCTGGATTTGTAGATTAATACTGCTTAAATTTAGTTTTATCACTGAATTTCTTTTTCCATCTGTTGTGATTGACATTCCACAATGTCAGAACTTATTGAATAACAATTAATTCATATGATTTAGCTGTTTCATGACAGCAATTTGTCATATAATCCTGCTTACCTTGGCAACATTGCCAAGGCAAATACAGGTTCTTTTATTCTAATCTTAATTATTAATATTAACTCTCATATCACACAGTACACAGTAACATATCTATATATCTATAAGCAGATATATGCTTTATAGAACAAATATAAATTAAAGAGACTACAGCAGAGTTCAAGAGGTTTCAAGAGGACTGAGAAAGGATTTGTACTGATACTGAACCAGACTAGTGCTATCAGGGAGCTTCCAAAATTGACTCAGAGCTGGATGTGGTGGTGCACACCTTTGATCCCAGCACTGGGGAGGGAAACAGAGCTCTGGGACTTCAAGGGCATCCAGTGCTACAAAGTTGGATCCTGTCTCAAAATAAATAAATAGATCACACAAAAGGAAATTTGTGAACAATTTTATTAGCATTTGAGAAAGAGAGAGAGAGAGAGAGGAAAACAGGGAAGGCAGCTACCTGAGGGAGGGGGATAGAAAAAGAAAAAACAAAGTCATTTTTTATTTAGGTCAGCACTGGAAGTCTACACGCAGCTGCAGAAAGCAGGGATGAGGTGGGAGGCTATACTCAGAGAAAACAACTTAAGAAAGCACACGGTGTCAGGGCAAGCACGTTTAGAATTTGGGTATCCAAAGAAGAGAAAGAAAGAAAAGTTATACTTCTGAATTAGATTTTAAAAAGCGCTAAGGTTTAGCAGTTAAGATCTGTAAGCAACTGCATAAGGCAGGGTTGTATAAGTACATTGTCTCATTTCAGGCATAATTATTCCTCCCATCTCCTCAGGATGTCTTTGGATGAGTCAGATTTCCTCATTCTAGGGTGGTCTCCTGGCCAGATGACTGGTAGACCCAGTTAGACAAACTTTTAAGGAAAAGCACAATAAATTGTGATGCTTTAATCTTTGGAGCAGATTAGAACATCACATCTCTATTCAGGGTTAGAAGCAGAACTCAGAATCCACTCTTTTGACCAGGGGGGATGTAGCTTTCACTTAATGGACCAAAGCTGATCTTGAGGGAAGTGTTCATCCTCTGTGGCCTCCGAGATGTCTAGTGCCTGTCTAGTTGCCCAACACTACTTCATCCAAACCAATGAATGGGGATAACTATACACGACACAAAGCCCACTGCTAGGCAGCTCCAGGAGTCATTCCCAGCTTCCTTTGCAGACAAGAAACCGTGCTATGCCCTACCTCTTTGGAGTCAGGGTGATTCCTTCTACCAACCTTTACTGAACACTGAGAGCTAGACATGTGCAAGTCATGCCCACACTCAATAAAATAAAATCCAGAACCCTCTCCATGTTGAGCAGACAACCTAGGATGGTAGGACCAGCTCTGTCCTGCTAGAGAAAAGGCTTTGGTAACCCAGAGTCCCTAGGAAAAACACCGAGCTTTTGTCATTTTTTAACATCCCAGGACAATAGCAGGTATGGTTTTTCTCTTTCAGTCTGGCCATCTACTACCTGAACTCCGTTTCAAAAAGTCTTTCCAGAGCTAATGCCCAGCTGCGAAAGAAAATCCAAGCGGTGAGTCTCTCAGGAGCTACATCCTTAATAGTGTTCTTATTTCTTGCTGATTAACTCTGTGATCTCAGTTGTGTTCTTTCAATGGTTTTCTGTTATGCCAAATCTAAAATCCTGCACTACAGGGAGCAGCCCTGTAGGGTTCAACAGTGTGCATATACAGCTGAATATTTGAAAGGCCAATGGCGCAGCTTAGTGGCAGAGAAAGTGCTTAGCAGTCACAAGGCTCTGGAGTCAGTCGCTAGCACTCCCACATTTGCACACAAGCATATGCATGCACACGTGTATACACACACACACACACACACACACACACACACACACACAGAGAGAGAGCCATCTTAATAGTATAAATACTAAAAGAAATGGCCAAACAACACATTGTTGATCCTCAGCCTGAGATGTCTCCTTGATACACAGGCAGCTTCTCTCAACATCCCAGCTGACTGTTCTCTCTAGAAAGACAGACAGACAGACAGACAGCATTCTCTCTCTCTCTCTCTCTCTCTCTCTCTCTCTCTCTCTCTCTCTCTCTCTCTCTCTCTCTTTCAGACTAACTCAAATCTCTGTGTCTTGTCCTCACTTCCTGTCATGCCTCTGAAACTAACATATACCTGGCTGCCAGTTCCCCACCCAGACTTCCTTCTGTTAGCCTCACTGGCTCCTGCCCAGATACAGGGGAACACTGAAATGATGTTGGATGTTCCTTCAAGTGCTGTGTGAACCCGAGCCGCACACTGCACTCTCCGGTTAGTTGTGGAGCCAATAGCATCCAGTTGAAGGTTGTCAGGAAGAACCGCAGACATGGTCCGACCTCACCTCTCAGGATCCAGGGCTCTAAGCATCAGACCCCCATGCCCCTAGCTTGCATAAATAATTCATTTTTTTCCTGCAGCTCCGTGAAATTGAGAAGAACCATAAATCTGTCAAAGGAAGAGCCATAGTCACAAATTCCGAGGACACACTTCAGAACAGCTCCAAAAATGCCACCCAACTACAACTCACTAAGGAAGGTAAATTTTTTTCCACAATGATAACTTTTTCCAAGTCCACATGAAAGTTGTAAAGAACATATGATGTGGAATTGGACTGATCTGGTTTTAAAATAAGGACACTGATAATTAATTAACAATATGAAGCACTTACCTCATAGGATGGCGAGGGTGAAAGCAGAGAATGTAATGTGCTTAAGGGAACTCCTGACATACAGAATAAACTGACAAACCCTTGCTAGAGGTAGTGTTTGTAGTTTCTAAAAGAGAGACATGCTGGAGCTGGAGAAGCAGCTCAGTGGTTAAGAGCACTGGCTGCTCTTCCATGGGATCAGGTTCCAGTCCCAGCATCCACACGGCGGCTCACAGTCCAGCGCTGTCTTCCGGCGTCCTTGGGCACTGCACACACATGGCACATAGGCATACATGCAGGGAAACACTCATATACATTAATAATAATTAATAATAATAACTTTTAAAGAGACATACTGGGTAGAATAAGCTGGTAGGGACAGGTAAGAAGTTTCTCTCAGAAGGATCTCCTGTCTCTAAAGAGGGATCATAGACCAGGCTCCAATGTGGGGGAGAGGAAAGAGCAAGATGAAAAGACCTTGTCTGAGGTTATCTCACTGTCTCAGGAGCAACTGTTTTAAAGGGTACCACTGTGCAATGTTAACCTTTGATGAGAAAACATTATAAATGACTAATAATTTAAGGGTTAGAATTTTTTATGTGTTCCAATGTATCAGCAGTTGCATTTCATGTATTCTTCACCATTATTTTTTGAGGATTAACCAGAATAATACTAACTGCTATAACAAACAGGTCCAAAATATCTTATTACATCTCACTCAATGCAAAATCCAAATGGGGTGTTTGCACTTAGTGGCCACAAGTACAGGAAAGGTTATGAGTGGTCAGGGGCTAAGGCTGGGCATTTGCAGGTTCCAGGCCTCTCAGCCAAAGAACTGAAAATAAGAGCTCACACAGATTTACTGAAGTAATAAGAGAGCTTTATTGGGAACAAAGCAACAGTACATATTAGAAAGGGAAACACTGTAAATAAAGATAGACACAGGGCATGGTGGCACAGGCCTTTAATCCCAGCACTCGGGAGACAGGGACAGGAGGATCGCTGTGAGTTCAAGGCCAGCCTGATCTACAAAGTAAGTTCCAGGACAGCCAATGTTGTTGCACAAAGAAACTCTGTCTCAAAAAATAATAATAATAATAAATAGTAATAATAATAAAGATAGACAGCAGGCCATGAGTGAAAATATCCTATAGCCCTAGCATACAGCCTGGAGTCTCTTTTGTGAGAAAGGAGGGGCTGGTTACTAAGAGGCACAGTTTGATGGATCCTCTATTTTATTTAAAGATTAAGTCACATGTTCATTTTTTCTACTACAAATATTTGCCTTACCATGCATGTGCCCCAAACAAGTTCAGAATGAATCAGTTCCTCTATTCATCATACTCAGATAGATTGGGAATACACTTGAACAGAAATTGTCTAAATTTAATTGTTGTTAGGACCAGGAAAATGTATACTGTTGTTCAGAGAGGGGCGTGCGTGTGCAGGTGGGAGTCTCGGGGGGTCTGAGTTTGCTAACTGCAATGTGCAAAGATACAGTGTTAACAGAATATGCAGGTGGAGCTAGCCTGACAGATGCATTATTACAGGGGGTGTGACGTGCATAATTCAAAACTAAATAGGACCCCAGGATACTACACTATTCCCTCTGCTTGTCTGCTTTGAAAGGAAAGCATGACTCCTTCCATCCCATGGCTCTGCCTGTATCAGATTTCTGAAAGAAGAAAAGCCTAGAAGCCATAATTGGTAGTGGCACATGTAAATCCACAAGAGAAACAGTGTCTGTTTCTGTGTTCCATAAGAAGAATTAGGGGGAGGGGAGAAGTTAAGAAAGTGAAAGAGCTGGAAATGAGGCTGTTGTCTAAGAATTATCGTCGCCTCTTCCCTGTCATCATCAGGTCTGACCTGGCTGTCATCCTGAGAGGCTGCTGTCACTACTGCACCAGTTTTTCCTATGGAAAACCTAGGTTAAAAGCTCTGGGGGCTGGAGAGATGGCTCAGCAGTTAAGAGTGCTTACTGCTTTTCAGAGGTCACAAGTTCACCCAACACGCACACTGGGTGACTTACAACCCCTGTGACGCCAGCTCCAGGGGATCCAATGACTTCTCCTGGATACATATAAAGACACATAAATATAAGTAAAAAATTTAAACAAATCTAAAAAACAAACCAACAAGAACCGCTAGCCTGAGACCAGAATTCAAACTCTGGTTCCCCAGGCAGCAGACAAATCTCTTCAAGGACAAATCAGACCCCAGGGCAATGAATGGGACAGTTCTCATAGCACCAAATGGGATCAGAACCTACAAATACAGCAGAGCAGCTCCAGACGGCTCCGACTGAAAATGGACAAAATCTTCTATACCTTCATTCTTGTCTTTGTTTTCCAGAGCCCACATCTGATTCTCCCAGCCAAATCCAGACCCTGGAAAAGAAAGGGCAGGGCCCTGGCAGCTCCGGTACTGACGTCAGGGCCTCACAGTCGACCTCCTGGCACCTTGTTGGATCTCAGCCCCCAAGAGTCAGACCAGAGTCTAGCCAAGCCCAGTCTCAGACTTACACATGCAGGGCAGCTTCTAGAAAGAGTACCCAGAGGCCTCACAAATGATGGCTGGCATTTGTGGGGCTCCTAGTCCTGGGCTTGATCCACAGGCTCTACTGTTTTGCATATTCCTTCCCTTCTCCTCTCACACACACGCATGTTCCCATATCACACATGTAATGTATGAACTTCAATCCTTGCTCTGCAGCCCTTATTTACTACTCAAAGGGAAGGGCAATGGCTTCCCATGAGTTGGAGAGTGGGAGGAGCCCAAATTAACTGGCTTCCCAGTGTCCTGTTCAGGCAACCCTGGACCCCACACACTAGTGGTTTCCCTTGGCTCCAAACTTGGGGAGGCAGGGATGAGGCCATGACTCCCTGTGTGGACTTTTTCCATGGTGTACATGTTGGGACCCATGTTTCTGCACCCCTTCTGGGTAGAACTACGGTGTGGAGGAGCCTACATGTCTAACATCAGCCCTATCTAAAGGAGGCTAGACTGTTCAAATAGCAGGTCTAAGCAAAAGAAAACAGAGTTGGATGAGGCAGAGTCGTTTTGACAGGAAAATCAGTGATACCCAACACTGAGGGAAGGTGATGCCAGTTAAGCACAGAAACTGCACTGGAGCCTCCTAGCGGCAAGACAAAGGAACACATGGGCAACACAGTTCTGATCCATGTTGGGGAATATTATTGCAAGATGTGTTACTTTTGTTTATGTTGCATTTGTTTAACTCTGTGAAGCTTGTTACTGTGCCTGTCTAAAATACCTGATGATCTAATAAAGAGCTGAACGGCCAATATCGAGGCAGGAGAAAGAATAGGTGGGGCTGGCAGGCAGAGAGAATTAATAGGAGAAATGTGGGAGAGGAGAGAAGAAAGAGCGAGAGAAGGAGGAGGACACAAGGGGCCAGCCACCCAGCTACACAGCAAGCCACAGACTAAGAAGTAATGAAAGATATACAGAAATTAAAAAAGGTAAAAGTCCAAAGGCAAAAGGTAGATGGGCTAGTGGTGGTACTGCGTTCCTTAAAATATTGTGTACCCTAATAAACTTATCTGGGGTCAGAGGACAGAACAGCCAGAAAATGGTGGCACACATGCCTTTAATCCCAAGAAGTGAGCCTTTAATCCTAGGAAAAGATGGCAGAAAGCAGAAAGGTACAAAAGGTGTGAGGACCAGGAACTAGAAGCTTTTGGCTGGTTAAGCTTTTAGGCTTTAGAGCAGCAGTTCAGCTGAGATTCATTCTGGATGAGGACTCAGAGGCTTCCAGTCTGAGGAAACAGGATCAGCTGAGGAATTGGCAAGGTGAGGAAGCTGTGGCTTGTTCTGCTTCTCTGGTCTTCCAGCATTCACCCCAATACTTGGCTTCAGGTTTGTTCTTATTAATAAGAACTTTTAAGATTCCTGCTACAGGGCTAATTTAAGAAAAGCTGGCAAGAAACAAGCCAAGCTAAGGCCGGATATTTATAATTAAGAATAAGCCTCTGTGTGTGATTTTTTTTGGGAGCTGGGTGGTAGGCCCCCACAAAAAAATCAAAGACAAACAACAACAGATCCAACTGAAGAAAACTTGAGGATTACTCAGGATGGGAAAGTTTTCTTCATGCACTAAATTCTAAAAGGAATTGGATAACCTGTTTCCTGTATAAGGGTCCTTGAACACGGTGGTTCTTCTGTTTCCTAGTGGGCATAAGTCAGGGAAGCCTGGCCATTAAGAAGGCTTTGCTAGAAGCCAAAGGCTTAGCAAGGTACAAGTCTTAGTTGAGAGTTCTCTAGAGACCTCAGGTGTTCTACAGACAGTACCTTCCTCTACTCTGTGTCCCCAGACCCAAGAGAACGGCAAAGCTTCAGGACCAAGGGAGCACCTCACCCCATGTTTCTGAGTATTCTGAAGAGAGCCCCTTCTTTTAGCCAGTTTCTTTGTTGTAGCTATCACCCAAGTCCTCAAGGGCCCTCGAGGTACCCCCACATATTGTACATCAAGCAAAGTCCTGGTGGTGAGAAGATTTCACAGCCACTCATGAGATTATACAATGAGAGCAGTTTTCAAACTGAACTCCACTCGTGAGCTGCAGTGGCATGAGAATGCAGACATATGAGCAGGAGAAACAGGGCACTTACTTCACCTCAGCCCATCCTAACAAGGTGAAGATCTCCATGGAAACTCAGTGAGCCTCCAGATCTGACACCGCCTACAAGTCACACAGTGCTTTCTGAGGACAAACATTCTAGCTGTCTAGATACCAACATGGGAACTCAGGCAGTCTAACCCACGCCAGGCAGCAAAGCCCACAGCAGCATCCATGCCTCCAACATCATCATCTCACCCGCACAACGTCAACTCAGAAATGAGAACAGGCGAGAGGCACATCCTGAGCCATCAGCCTCTGTGACTGTTGTGCCTCTGACAGTTAACAATACACATAAACGCCTACTACAAACTAAATCGCCTGTTTTGAGGATGCATAATTCTGTATCAGTGAATATATTTGCTGTCTATTGCTATATATCAAATTAGCCCCTAAACGGATGCTTTTAAATGGGCTGGGCATAGTGTCACATGCCTATAATTCTGGGCACTCGGGAGGCAGAAGCAAGGGGTTTACACCAAGCTCAAGGCCAATCAAGTTTATATAGTGAATTTCAGGCCAGCCAAGGTTATACAGTGAGACCTTGTCTCAAAAATCCAAGAAGAAAGTAAATAAATAAAGCACATTATTTATTATGCTTGAATAGTGTCTATGGCCAAGAATTTGGGGGTGGGCTGGGGAAATAGCCTAATCAATAGAGTGCTTACAGTGAAGTATGAGGACCTGAGTTTGACCCCCAGAACCCATGGAAAAGTCAAGAGCAGCAGCCTGCATCTGTAACCCTGTGCTTCCGGGCAAGGGGACATGGAGACAAACAGATCCTAGGGACTTGTTGACTAGCTAGTCTAGCTCAAACAGTGAACTCCTTGTTCAATGGTTGTCTCAAAAAAAATAGAAAATGATAGAGGAAAGCACTGTATATGGATCTCCACATGTACACACATACACACATACACACACACACACACACAAGAATCTGGGAATGGCTTACAAGGCATAACCCCATACTTGCTTACACAGATGGCTATGGGCAGGAAGCTTTAACTCCTCCTAGGTATTGACAGGAGACTATGGTGATTCTCCCTGTGAACCTCTCCATAAAGCTGTGTCAAAGTCAAATAAAACTATGGAGGCAAATCTCCATTAAAGGAAATTGTTAGTAAACAAAGGATAGGATTGCAATCTGGAATACAGCATGCACAGGCCAGAGGGGACCGTGTTATGTCTGGAGAAGGAAGAATCATTGTTTATTAGGACAGAGAGATCTACACAGGATATTTTGAAAGAAAGACCTGTGGCATTGTGTGTATTTTCAGGAGCTGGCAACATTTTCAAATTGGCAACACTAAATGTACAAACCCAGTCTTGTTTTTTTAAGGTTTGGGTTTGTTGTTTGTTTTTTGAGACAGGGTTTCTCTGAGTACCCCTGGCTGTCCTAGAACTCACTTTGTAGACCAGGCTGGCCTCAAACTCAGAGATCTGCCTGCCTCTGCCTCCCAAGTGCTGGGATTATAAACATGTAACACCACCTAGATTGAAGATTTATTTTTATTTTATCTGTATGAGTGTTTTGCCTGAATGTATGTCTATGCACCATATGCATGCCTGGTGCTCATGGAGTTGAGAAGAGTGCATCAGATCCCGTTACAGACGGTTGTGAGCTGCCACGTGGATGTTGGGATTCAAACCTAGATCCTCTGGAAGAGCAGACAGTGCTCTAAGCACTGAGAAATATCTCTGTCCTCATTGTTCAAAAAATTTTCACAGCTACTTCAGTGAGCTAAGGAATAGGGTGGAGGAAGAACATATTGGTAGGTGAAAAAAGGTATTAATGTAATGTGGGCTTTCAGTTAAGGGATATTACTATTCGAAAACAAACTAAGGTTGCTATCTGCTGTTTTCTTAGGTTTGACTTTCCAGCATATTCCATCTTAACACTTCATATTCCATGAAGGCATCACAGCCTGTGGAGACAGGCTAGCAATAGGGGTGTGAGTAGGTCACATACACCCAGGTTGCTTTATCTACAGCATGGGGCTAAGTGCACTCATCCGGCCATGTGGGTGATGGATCTGGCCAATATGTAGAGCTTTGTGGACACAGTTCAGAAGGAGCTGGACAGTGTACCACACCCCATCACCAACCTCTGAATCAAAGAGGTCCCATGTGGTGACTGCTCCTTAAGGGGTTGTACCACTATTCTGGCCTACCAGCAGCTGCAGTGAGAGATTAGTCAAGTTCCTCAGGTCCACCCTCTCATACCTGAAGTTGTACCTAGGAGCATCTATACTTGACCTACAGTAGCTGCCTCCTTGGTTACCTGCCACTACCACCTTCCAGAGCCCAGAAGGTACATCTGGCCACCAGCAGGCTAAGCCAGACAGGTGTGGCAGGAATCGATTCCTTTGGTGCCCAGGGAGGGATCTGACTCTGGGTGCCACCTGTGCTAGCATTGGGATACAGCAGGTTCTAAATTTCCAAGAACAAGGACCACCCCCATTTTTGTCTTTAGAGTACTCTATTACTACACAGACTAGGTACTAGGATGTTCAGGAAAATCTAAGTCACCATGGCTTAAACAAGTGAAGCTTGTTTGCACATAATCTGAATTCCGGAAACAGTTAACATCGTGTTGCTCCAACAGCTCAGCTAGGGAAGGGCTTGCTCTCTGCAGTCGCCTGGCCTTTCCCTTGTTGCTTCTTTACTTCATGGTCGCAAGACTGAGAAGACCGAGCAGATGCCTCAATTTCAGTTTCCTGAGACTGAGCACGCAGTTTCTGGGAAGGCCATGAACAAAAGACAATCACTGATGCCCCTGTCAGCAGGGACAGGGAGACAGGACACACTAAGTCTGGGCCACTGAGCCAGCCCCCACAGTCAGTACAGGCTAGGCCAGCCAGCCTCCACAGCAGTTCAAGGACAAAGCCTGGGACTTGTCCAGGCCTGCCCAAAAATGGATAACTGTAGCCCTGACAAACCCCCAACTAACCCTAGTCAATTAAAAGTTACTAACATGATTGCCACTCGCATAAACCAATCCTGAGTCTGTTCCTATACCGTCTGTAGACCCTACAAACCAATCGTATATAGTCTATAGACCCCAAGATCCCCTGCTGCTTGCTTTACCCCCTATAAAAACCCTGCCCCATTGCTACTAGGGTCTCTCCTGCTCTGCTGCTACATCAGACGGATGAATAGAGAGTCCTGAGTTAACTCGCAATAAAAGACGCTGCTTTTGCATCGGATTTGATCTCTTGATGGTCTTTGGGGGTCCAGACTCTGGGTACAACAAAGACAACTGCTGTATCTCCAGGAACCTATGTTTAAGGAAGAAATGGGGGGTTGGGGAGAGTCAGAGCCAAACCCGCTGGAACTATCAACTTAAATCAGAAAGGAAAACCTCTTTCAGAAACCTGGTCATATCCTCTTGCATATTTCCATTTAGGCATCCTAGGCTAACTATAGTGGCCACCCTTAGCTCCAAACAAAGTAAAGATGGCAGGGAACTGGATTGGCCAAGCACACCCATCATATTCTATCCCCCAGAACAGAACTGTCTTCTGAAATAAAATAGGAATCTGCACTGGTTGTCAGCTTGACACAAGCTAAGGTCATCTGGAAAGACAGAGCCTCAGTTGGGGGTTGCCTCCACCAAATGGGCCTGCTGGGCATTTCATGGATTAATGGTTGATTAATATGGGAAGGCCCAGGCCTGTGGGCGGTGTCACCCCTGGACAAGTGGTCCTGGGTTGAATAAGAAAACAGGCTGAGCCGGGCGGTGGTGGCGCACGCCTTTAATCCCAGCACTCGGGAGGCAGAGCCAGGCGGATCTCTGTGAGTTCGAGGCCAGCCTGGGCTACCAAGTGAGTCCCAGGAAAGGCGCAAAGCTACACAGAGAAACCCTGTCTCGAAAAACCAAAAAAAAAAAAAAAAAAAAAAAGAAAAAAAGAAAACAGGCTGAGCAAGCCATGGAGATCAAGCCAGTAAGCAGCACCCCTCCATGACCTCTGCTGCAATTTCTGCTGTCTTCCCTAAATAACAGATCGGGATGGCAAAATATAACCAGAATAAACTCTTTCCTCCCCAAGAAGGTGTTTCACGCAACAGGAAGCAAACTACAACAGGACCCTGCAATCAGGAGCAGGAGAAACTGTGTATCTGTTAGCTTTGTTGAGTAACAAATGAGCTCCAGACTGAGCCGCTCAGGAGTTAGGGGCTCTCTGGTTGAGAGTTTGGGCTAGGCTCACTTGAGCTTTCTGCTTGGCTTACCTGGACTCACTTGTGGATGGCAGTCAGCTGTCACCTCAGCTGGGGCTGGTTGGGCTAGGATAGCTTAACTCCTGTGGCAATTGACAAGTGTAGGCCGGAGGGGCTTCATAGCCCCTGTGGCCTTTCTAGCAGGTTAACTCAGGTTTATTCTTATGAATGGTCTTCAAGTTCCTATGGAGAGTAGAAGTGACCCTGGGACTAGGACAATGTGATTCTGCTGCATTCTTTACTCAGATTCAAGGGGCAGAGACAGCCTCCAGCTTCCAGTGACAGGAACCGAAAAGAACCGGGGCCACTGTCCATCCATCATAGATGAGTTTGGGGGCCTAATAAAAGTATTTGTCTCTTACACAAATACACACTTACACACAGGGCCTCACCTTGCTCAATCTGAACCCCTAAGACACTGTCCTTGCCCTGAGGGCCTAGAGGAAGAGGTAATAATGTCAGGCCTCAGGATCTCTAAGGGATGGTCCCCTCAGCAAGGCCTCTCTCATTGTTTGCACTGGTGGGTTGGGAGTGAACAGATGGAATGTTCCAGGGGAGCGTTTCTGTAAACCAAGAGTACTAGGGGTCAGGAAAAGGAAAGGTGCACCGTGAGGCAGACCTTGCTCCCATCACACTCAAGGAGCCCAACCAATCACTTGGCATTTTCATGCCTCAGTTTCCCCAGCTCAATATCGAGGACAACAGTTTTCCCACTATCACCCGACTTGTACACTCACAGATACTAGTGGCTGAGGTGCCAGCCCATAAGAGAATCTGACCAGGGTGCCAAGAGCATTCACCGTGCTGGTGGTCCTCACTCAACTCAGTAAAGTCATTTCAGACATACTCTGATGTGCATATCCAGCCCTGCCCAAGTGCATGAAGTCCTTTCTCCGTATGAGACTTTAAGAAATAAATGAGAGGCAGAGGTAGAGGCAGAGAGGCAAAGGGGCAGAGGCAGAGGCACGGTCGTAATAAAGACTGGAAGCTGAGCTTTTATCTGCTGAGGAGTTGGTGAGAACATGGAGATTAAGAGCAGGGATGCCTTTAATCACAGCACTTGGGAGGCAGAGCCAGGCGGATCTCTGTGAGTTCAAGGCCAGCCTGGGCTACGAAGTGAGTTCCAGGACAGGCTCCAAAGCTATAAAGAGAAACCCTGTCTCAAAAAAACAAAACAAAACAAAACAAAACAAAACAACAACAACAAAAAAAAACCAGATACCTCTATCACTGAACCATGGCTGGGAAATGGGCCATATAAGGCCAACTTTCAAATTGTGTTGTGAAGTTTAACAAATTGTTGTAAGACTACAACATGCCAGCCATTATGCCACTACTCAACAATAACATAGCACCACAAGCGTGGATGAGAGAGTATAAGACCTATACTGACAGTGTCACTGATAGAAATGAAAAGGACCACTGAGCTAAATGATGGTCTTAAGGTTGTCCTTATTCCTGGAGTCTATGTGAAGAGCTGCCAAAGAATTTTGGGGGCTTCTTTCTATATTTGAAAAAGGGTCCAGAATTGCTAGAAGCCATTCCAAACATGATGTGATTTTTCTCACTGGCAAGATGTGTGAAGTATCGCCACCTTGTGGCACTTGCTTGCAGTTTCAGTCTCTAGAACTCTCAGGGTTGGATTTTAAAATGGTTCTCTGTCTCCACCGATTGCCACCAGTGTTGAGTGACAGTAAAAACTCCGGGCTAACACACAAAAGTGACACAGTTCGTGTCTGATCCTTTCCAAAGGACAGACAGTCACATCACACAGAAAGGGGAAGGAGGGCCTAGGTGCCTATGGCTTAAATTCAAAGCTGAAGCATACCTTGAGAACCCAGAGCCCCACTCAGAAATGCTCCTCATCTCGGACGAATCTCAGCAGAAAACCCTTCGGTGGACTCTTCTCAGAAAAACAGCTGCCTGGATAAGAATTTTCTGTTGAATATCTATCAGTTCTTCAGTTAACCCTCTCAAGAGGTGAAGCCTAGTTCCCTTCCTTTTGAATGTGACCTGAACCTAATAAATGTAAAATACCTCTGGGCCCCAGCGCTCTGGAGGGAGCATGCTTAGCCTAAAGCTGCCAAGTGAAGGATGTGCCCTCGGCAATAAGTCCTCTAGGAAGGAGTCTGGTTCTCAAGTGCAGACCTCAAAAGGGAACAGACACCGAACAGCATGGAACCACAGACACCCGAAGGAGGCCCAGAGCTCAGAGGCATTATGCATCTGGCTGGGACCAGCACATCTAAGAGGACAGATAGACTGACTGTATAGGCCCAGCCACCAGACCTTTGCAGCCAGGTGACAGTAGAACTAACGGCTCAAGATACAACCTTCAGCCGGGCGGTGGTGGCGCACACCTTTAATCCCAGCACTCAGAAGGCCGAGGCAGGCGGATCTCTGTAAGTTCGAGGCCAGCATGGTCTACAGAGTGAGTTCCAGGACAGGCGCAAAGCTACACAGAGAAACCCTGTCTTGAAAAACAAAAACAAAAACAAAAAAAAGAGATACAACCTTCAAACCTGACTGAGCACAAGAACCTGATAGAGCACTGTCTGTCCCCAGCATTAAGTTGTGAAAAATGCCTTTTTTAAAAAAAGAGCCAAGTAAGAGAAATTACTTTTTTTTTTTTTTTTTTTTTTTAACACGGGGTTTCTCTGTGTAATATTCCTTGCTGTCCTGGAACTCACTGAGATCCACCAGCCTCTGCCTCTCAAGTTCTGGGATTAAAGGCATGTGCCACCACCACCTGGCTGAAATTACTCCTTTTAAAAGAGAACAGACTCTTAACAAGACTGTTTAAAGTAGAAAGGATGAAGATACTAACAATTAGCAAATTTACCATCTGAATGGATTTTCCAATCCCTATCATTTAATCAGTGAAAGTAAATATTCATCTCCTGTCATTGGAAATTGAATGGTATTGGTAACTGTCTCACCATGTGAAACTTAATTATATTTATTGTTTACATATGTAAATGAATGACTGAAGTAACTTTTAAAAATGAGCTTACGAGGGTGTGTAAAAATGGTGTTAGCCTGATCTTTGACAAAGAAGCCAAAACTATACAATGGAAAAAAGAAAATATCTTCAACAAATGGTGCTGGCATAACTGGATGTCAACATGTAAAAGATTGCAAATAGATCCATATCTGTCACCATGCACAAAACTCAAGTCCAAGTGGATCAAAGACCTCAACATAAATCCAGTTACTCTGAACCTGATAGAAGAGAAAGTAGAAAGTACTCTTTAACTCATTGGCACAGGAGATCACTTCCTAAATATAACACCAGTAGCACAGACACTGAGAGAAACAATTAATAAATGGGACCTCTTGAAACTGAGAAGCTTTTGTAGGGCAAAAGACACAGTCAATAAGACAAAACGACAGCCTACAGAATGGGAAAAGACCTTCACCAATCCCACATCTGACAGTGGACTGATCTCCAAAGTATATAAAGAACTCAAGAAACTAGACATCAAAATACTGAACAAACCAATTAAAAAATGGGCTATAGAGCTAAACAGAGAATTCTCAAAAGAAGAACCTCAAACGGCTGAAAGACATTTAAGGAAATGCTCAACATCCTTAGTCATCAGAGAAATGCAAATCAAAACGACTCTGAGATACCACTTTACATCTGTCAGAATGGCTATGATCAAAAATACTAATGACAGTCAATGTTGGAGAGGATTCGGAGCAAAAGGAACACTCCTCCACTGTTGGTGGGAGTGCAAACTTGTACAACCACTGTGGAAATCAGTATGGCGGTTTCTCAGAAAATTGGGAATCGATCTACCTCAAGACCCAGCCATACCACTCTTGGGCATATACCCAAGGAATGTTCAATCATATCACAAAGATACATGCTCAACTATGTCCATAGCAACACTATTCTTAATAGCCAGAACCTGGAAACAACCTAGATGCCCATCAACAGAAGAACAGATTAAGAAATGTGGTACGTATACACAATGCAGTACTACTCAGCAGAGAAAAACAATGACAGCATGAAATTTGCAGGAAAATGGATGGAACTAGAAAATATCATCCTGAGTGAGGTAACCCAGACTCAGAAGGACAAACATGGTATGTACTCACTCATAAATGGATACTAGATATAAAGCAAAGGACAATCAGACTGCAACCCACAGATCCAGGGAGCCTACCTAGCAGGGGGGGGACCCTAGGATGACTGTGATTTATAATAAGTTTTGGTTTTACCCAATGACTAGGCAAGCTTTATTGAAACATTTCACTATTAGGATAAGAATTTGTACTGTATCAAGCTGGTGAAAGAAAATGCTAGCCGTACTTTCAGGAGGGGAGGCTAAAATCTTTTTAGATTATCAATTAGCCTATAGAAAACTGTGTGCCGTAAATCAAACAGTGAAGGGGAAGATGAATAGGAATATTACATACATAACTTAAGTAAAACATAGCTCACTGAACAGATGAAGATAGGTTTCTTCTGTATCCCAGAATCTAATCAATATTTATATGTATAACTCAGCTATCATTTGGCTTAAAAGGGCTTATTGGGAAATGTTATCATTTTTACTATTTCCTACAGAGAAAATATTTTCCAGTTTCAAATAACCCTGGACTTTTGAATTATAACCTGTTTCTATGTTCAAATAAATAAAAAAGAAAAAGAAA